TTTTACTAAGGAAATCGGAACTGAAAAATCAGATCGGAACTGAATTTTTACCGAACTTTTATTACGAGACTTGGCCTTCTGGATCCGTTCCGCTACCTCGTTTTGCGAGGTAGTAAAGCATAAGATTGTTAGGGACAAGAGATTCTTTTCGATAAACGCAGTATCGACCAATCGATTCTAGAAAGACCATTTAATACGAAGCTATCACACTTATTTTAACGATTAATCATAATCAAACCTTATTAATTGAGATGTTTTGCGAGATTAATTACATCGTATTAACTGTGGTACTTTGAAACAAACTAGGACGATATTTGACAACAGTTCATTCCACCAGTCCGTCGATTTGCCACGGTCATGTGCGCGGCAGTTCTCAATATATCTTGTTTAGTTATGTAATTTCTAACGCGTGTTACATATGTATGTTCATGCATTTATTAATACTTGTTTTATTTCCTAACACAAGTTTGTCTCCATATAAAATGAAGTCTAGGAATTGAATTGAGCGTTTAACCTACTTTGTGTGATAAAACACGTGACATAACTGTCATATGGTCGAAGTTATTTCTACTATACCTATAGCTATTACGAGTACGCAGAAGTTCACTAGAGTACATAAAGGTAATTAATCGGGTGAACTGTTAAACATTTGTTTATTTTCAAAACATTTAGAAGGCTTGTATCTAATGTAGGCATTTATTTACGTTTTTATGTGAGGTTTAACAAACCAAATGTGATTTGAGGATTATAGTACATCTTTTATAACTTAACTCTGCTCATTAATGTATGTCACTTTATTAGAAAAAGTGCATAGAAATACATAAGTATGTTTATCAGCAGTCCTAGTGGTAATCCTAGTTTAGATTCTGCCTAGTTTGGGCCTTATGTGAGGTGTCTCAAGTGTCAAGTTATGTAATTACAGGTAAAAAAAATATGAAATTACATCACATACAGCAGAAGGATATCTAGCCCACTCATTTTCTTCAAAATATAATCGTGGGGGAGACATTTTTGTACACGATAAAACGGCTCCACAGAAAACCGGTGTTCAGTAATTATTTTCTTACTTTCCACCGAGTGAGTGAGATTACTAGAGGCCCAATGCCTTCCTGCCCCCTCCCCCCTCTCCGTTCTATGGAAGGATATACTCAAAGAGAAGTAGGTGACCGATCTGCTGGTTTACCTACTATTCAAAATAAAACTTACATGCCTAAGTTCATTCGAACAACTTCTCAGAAGACACGCAGTTTATTGCCGTACAATTAAGTGATAAATAATACTAGGCCCTGCCGGATGTCTCCGAGCTGGCCTACTAACGCAGCGAAGTGTGGCAGATGATATCCTATCAATCACACGGACACACAATTGTCTATACGAGTACGTTCATTTGACACAATGCAAAACGTCAAACGGCGAATTAACATGCTACTGCGAATAGAGTGTTGATTACCCACACATATAGCACAGGCTATTACGTAGTGGAAATGCGTGTGTGTGTTTTTTTTTTCTTCTGATCTTTTTTCTGAATCTTGTTTTCTCTTCATTATCTTTTTGCCTTTTAGTCCTTAATAACTGACATACTGGCACACATCGAAACAATGTTGTGGTATATTAAATGATGCCTTTGCATCTATCTGTTAATTTTAAAGAGAGTGGCCGAGAGTTTGTTTACCCTTTCTTCTCATAAGGGTCAATCCCTTTGCGGTTGTAGATCGACACAGGCATATAATAGATTTTCGATACATATATTTTAATTTTGCTAAATATTTGACAAAACAGAGATTAATGCTATTGTGCGTGTTGATCTATCACTTTAGAGTCTACGTATAAGAGACAATTTTGATCTTTTTTTTGAAATGAAATAAGAAGAAGACCCTACCCCGAAGGGGGTACACAGAGCCATATTAAACGCTCATACTTTTCCCTTAACCGTTTCTGTAGACTGGGCACAGAATATAATGAAATTATCATCATCATCATCAACAGCCTTTACTAGTTCACTGCTGGTCATAGGCCTCTCTTTAGTAATGAGGTTTGGCTTACTACTAAGACGCTGGCCAGACGGCTTGATATAGGGTTGTCAAGCTTTCCTTCTTTTTGCAGTGAAGTCGTCCTGTGTAGTTAGCTCCCTTAGTTGGCTCTTACGACACCCACGGGATGAATAGGAGTGGTAACATTCCGAATTCTTAATCCGTCACCACACGGACCGATATTATCAAATCAACATACCTACTCATATATTTCTAAATACAATCAAATAAACGTTCATACTAATTTTTTTTTGGATTACAACACCAGATTATTCAGTTACAAAAAAGAACTTCACACCAAAGCAATGATATCAATTACTGCGACCTACATGCCTCAGTAAATGACATACTACAACACAATCTAACAAAATTTGACACTAATTAAAACTGTATAACATAATACCTGACATTCATCGAAAGGTTGATAGCGCCCGGCCTTCGGAGATGCTCGTGAGAGTTCGGGTTTGTTCGTGAGCTTTGACCAGCGCACGCGCGTATTGCGCGATATTAATGAGAGAGATCAATTATTTTTGCCGCTAATTGGATCGTTACGAAATTTGAAAGCTTTATTGATGTCAAAAAAAGACAGAAAGGATGCAATCAATTTAGTAAATGAAGCTTGTACGTTTCGCATGATGATCTATTGGCTTTCGTTATTTTTTATTTAGTATAAAAATTTAATTCTAATAAAATTTTAAAATTCAATGGTGCGTCTGACTCATATCACATGATCTTTAGAAATTATAGTACGCATACTATGTTACCGTTTTCTGCGCGAAGCGCTCTTTCTGTAGCGGTAGGAGAACGCGAATTTGCGTAATAATTTTGGACAATTTCGAAGCGTTGGTTTAAAGTGAAACGTGACATGATAAAATGGCAAACCTTACTGAACACAAATGTCAAGAGACGTCAAAGATTCATCATCAAACATGGCCGCTATGAGCTGTCAAAACCAGGTCATCCCTATTGGTAGACCCAGTATTTAAAACAAGCAAATTTTATTTGAATGGATGCGGATTGCCTAAGAACGGGATGATTGGTGCTCCTTGGGCGAGGATTTCGAGCAGTGGACGGCGATGGGCTGATGATGAATTTTATTTAAGTTAATATTTAACTGAATGACCTGTAAAGATCTAAGTTTAAGTACATTTTTAATGCAACCCCCCTAAAAGATTAATAAAAATAATTGTATTTTTATTTTTATTCATTTATCAAAAGCAGACTCAAATACATCTTGTTTACAAATAATATTTCAAGAATATTACTCGTACATATAAAATAATCTGGCCACATGTAAACAATATTAGGTTCCTGACTCCCAAACTAGGTTTATCACCTGTGACTTTGGAGCCAGTGTTCCTCCATTATGACGTGGATATTTGCTCAAGCGTCTATAGGAGTCACTCAATTGTGATCTTCTGCATATATGGGTTCCTTTTTTGTAACATCTTATTTAAGTGAAAAATTGTATACTAAAAGATATACTGACCAACAAAGATAATTTTAATAAAAGATATCTTAGTTGTTTGTTACCATCTGTGTGAATATGTACGTGTAGGCATTGAGTATGATGTGTGTATGAGTGTGTGTATATGTGTGTGCGCGTGTGTGTATGTGTGTATATTCTATGAAGGGAAAAGAAATAATTTTTCTATTTCCTCATAGTTTTGTTCAATCAACCATGTTTTAACTTTATTTTTACACTGATGAAAGTAGGGAAGAAAAATAGGGTCTCTAGTTTTAGAGTAAATGTATATTTCTACCTACACTTTTAATTATCTTGCAATTTGTATTTTTCTACAGCTCAAGAGACACAAGTGCGTTACCGCTATTTGTATGCCCTCCTCTCTCGAGAGGTGTTGTTCCTCCGATAACCTCCCTCGGTAGAAATCAACAAAAAAAACGGTGGCACTCCGGGAATGCCGACATAAGTAAAAACTTGAAAATTTAAAAATTTGGATTATAATAGTTATTTTTTTGTTCCGACATGAATATATGTCTATGTTGTACGTATATACATAATATATATTTATATTATATATAGTTATATTTCAACCCAAACTCAACTTGTATAAACGGGGCCAATATATGTAGATACTTATATACAGAGGTGTCGGTAACGGTAACAATGTTGCGAGTTCAATGGTTTTTTCCAATACAATCTGTTGTTTGTTGTTTAAAAATTTCCAACTCGCCTAAAGAAGTTTTCACTTCAATAATTGCTTAGCACGGGCTTTTAAAATTCATTTTAATAATTCCTAACAATAGCTTAAACATACAGAAAAACGGACACCAAAACTTCTTTTATTTTGACATTAATTTTACTAAAATAATAATGATATTTTTACACATTTCACATAACGTCTGATCCTATACTAGGCAGAGCCTGTACTATGGTAACCAGACTGCTGATAAACATACTCATATATTCCTAAATACATACATATTATAGATATAGTACACCCAGATACACAACAAATGACCGTGCTCATCACCCAATTATTTGTCCTGGGTGGGCTTCCGGCTTGGCCAACAGGCCCGTCAATCTAACTATCAACTACCCATCTATAAAATCTTCACGGTTTTAAGCAAATCCAATTATTATTTCATTGACATTGTATTGATGGCAATGACTTCAGAATCTCAAACGAAATAAAAACGTTACTTAAACAGCAATAACAATGTTACTTCACTGCGTAACCGGTATTGAGTGAAACAATTTCATACCAAAGCGTATTACTGTTAATTTGTTCTAGAAATAATTTTACTACCGATATTTTTGTTGGACGGTTTTTCAATTTTATACTATTTAGGATTTTTAGCTTTGTTTTTCGTTGTAACTTTATTAGAAACAAGGTTATTCTAAGCCCTTCAACTGCACAGTATAGGATGTATTTTTGTTGGTTAACTACTTCCAGTAGTATACTTCGAGTTCAGGATTTGATGCCTATTTAGAAAAAGTTATGTAAAATGAAGTTAGTAAGTACAAATCTAATATAAAGATTTCATTTTTTTTAAATTTTAATGTTAAGTTTATAATAAAACATTTAAGTTAAAATAATTTCTCAGAACTTTAAAAAAACAAATAGAAATATTCAATAATAGTTATCATTGAATATTAATTTCAATAATAGTTATCATTGAATATTAAATTCAATAATAGTTATCATTGAATAAATCTATTTTTTTGTTATAGCAAAGGTAGAGAAGCAAGTAGAGAGGTCGCCTAATGGTAAATAATTTCTGGCCTTTAGACACCGACAACTCAGTAGTGACAAATGCGTCACCGCCCTTTAAGTCTGCCCCCAGAGAGGGGTTTGGGCGCCGGCAACCTAAACCCACTCGGTGAAAGCTGACAAAGAAACAGATTAACACCTTTTTTCTGTGCAGCCCCTGGTGTCACTCTGGGTATCATGCCCGTCAGTGCCGAAGCATGGCTCTCCCACATACATAGTCGGGACCCTTGTCTTGCTCCTTCGCTCTCTGTCATGTCTTTCGCTACTATATGTTATGATAACGTCCGTGTTTATCCCTAGATGGCGCTAACCTGCGACTGTCCTATGGTACAGCCGGGTCCAACTCTGGCTTCCACTTGCGGAGGGGGCGCTTTTATGCTCTTCATGGGCCTGCTAGAAGTGTTCCTGAGAAGTCAGTGCGATTTGGAGGATCCTTGTGGAAGAACGCAGGTATTTGTCTTAAAATTTAATCATCTAAAAACGGAATGACAACAATTGCACTCAATATTCAGTAGATGATCATCACAAATGTTGATGTGATGATGATCTACGAACTAAAAGACTGTTGCTTTTAATAGTCTTCGCTGGACATAAGCCTCTCCTTGGAAATGTGGTTTAGGCCTACTATACCACGCTGGCTAGACGGGTTGGTATAGGGTTTGTATTAAGTTTTCCTTCTCATTGTCTCACTGTTAGCACTGTGTTAGTCGGCTCTTAAAACACCTTTGGGATGAACAGTGGTAGTGACACTCCGTATTCTTAATCCGTCACCACACAGATAGGATCAGTAGATTTAATTTACGTGAAACCATTCGTTTAATAAAAGATTAAAGTAACATAAAAAGCAACACTAATCATAAACTTTTTAGTCCAACTAAAATCCTAGACTAAAATTTAATACCCAAAGAATTTTGATTTTTGGTTCGACATATTTTTTCAATTTTTTACGAGATCGTATTCGACATATTATTTTACGCCCACCATAAAACAATCAGACTCACCTGTTAATTTTTTCTGTGGTTCTACAAGAAACAAACAATATATCGGGAATAGGGATTGACTTGATACTCTTGAAAACCACTTATTTATCAATAAAAACCCTTGAAAAAGTCCTCTGTTTTTTCTGCGTTAAAATACTATTTGTTTTATTAATTATTAGACTAAATATTTATTCCCGATTATTCTATACCTTTCTTTTTTTCCGTGCGGAAATCCCCTCGGATACCACCTGTCGGTGGCATGTCGGACTCGAACCGACTAAAACCGCACGCCGTCTCGGGTACTAATAGCCGGGGAACCAGGTATACCCTAGAAAGGAAGTCAATCGTGCCCCGACATACCTCGGGTCATCTACAGACGAGTAGACGACCCCCCCCCCCGTGTGGGAACCCCATGTTCCCTGTGCTCCCTGGAAAATTATTCTATACCTATAATGGAGTTAAAATCAGTTTGAGTTCTTATAGAAACTACAGTGTACCTGTAATCACAGACTATTATTACTATTTATTTACTATTACTATTTACAGAAAATTACTTGACTGCACAATTTAATTTGTCACACAAACATAAAAACTTTATAGTTATGGATTTTCTCGTCCTGTGAGTACGATTTTCCCGTAGTGTCCCAGTGATTAGATGTCGTTGTCGAGTCACGACGAGTTGTCACGAGCGCTTTCTATCTGACTTGGCTGTCTGTGATTGCCTGATTGATGTCGAATGGTTTAGTTACGAGTTAATAATATATTTACTGCGATTTTTCTATCAGTACATGAATTGATTTTCTTTGTTAAAAATTGCAAGTGGTGTTGCTAGCATTGAATTGAACTATCTCTACTGATATTATGAATGCGAAAGTAACTTTTGAAAACGCGACAGACAGGCGCAGCTGAACAGATATTTTAATAAAGTTTGGCTTGGAGTCTACCTTGATTCTTGAGGACTAACATAGGCTACTTGGTGAACAAATGTCTACACAGATCAGCACGAGAACTTTCATTGCTCAATCTCTTACACTACTCACGTATTTCGTAAAGCTAATAATAATAACTGCACAAATTTGCACACACGGCAGTCTGATCCCAAGTACGCAGGACAACAATACTGCAAAGAGAAGGAAAACTTGACACAAACCCTATACCAACCCGTCTGACCAGCGTAGTATAGTAGGCCAAAACCTCCGTTCTAAGGAGAGGCTTATGTCCAGCAGTGGACTTTTGTAGGCTGTTGATAATGATGGTAAGTCTGATCCATAACTAGGCAGAGCCTGTGCTATGGTAACAAAACTGCTGATAAACATTATTTTAAATATTCCTAAATACATACATACATATCTATGAGGTATCAATGTAGGACACATTTAAAATTTGATAAATTCAACGCTGTTTTAAAAAATAGTCTTATTGCGGCCTTGGGTCTTGACATTTCTCTCAGTCCGAGGCTATAGTCTAGACCACGCCCGCCTGGAGTGGGTTTGGAACACTTCCCAAACCATGACGAGTATTAAACAAAACTGTCTAAGGTGTACAAAATTACTCACAGTGTGTTTTCCGTCTTCATTAAGACAAAAGAGATCTATCTTTTTATACTTGGTATTTTTTGAAGTAGATCCTTAATTTTTTCAATTATGTAAAGCTTTTATGTTGTCAAAAATGTGTATGTAACAGCTCTGTACAGGAAGGAAATAACAAACGTTTTTGTAACAGAAATTCGAGTGGTGTAATTAACTACAATATAATTGCGGTTAATTATACCATTCGAATTTCTGAGACTTTCTTTCTAAAGATGGAACTTTCATTTAAATGCGTTTTTGTGTAGTATTCTCAAATCTATTATACAACAGTTCTTCGAATGATGTAGCTAAACAACTATTACAATCAACAAATATAATTTGACTACAATTTCTAGTAAAGTACACCAATATCTTCTTTTAATAGCGGTAGGGGGGTATTGGTATTGGTTGTGGGCTTCGGTTTCCGCATTTAGACTCAGAGTGGTCCTTTAGCGGTAGGGGGGATTTGGGCTCCAGTAATCTCACTCACTCAGTAAAAGGCAACGAAAGAATTGTAACACCGGTTTTCTGTGACTCCGTGGTATCACTCCGGTCGAGCTGGCCCATTCGTGCCGAAGCATGGCTCTCCCACGGCACTCCCTTCTAAATATTAATACTTCTTTGTATTTCTTTTTAAATAAATAGAGAAGTGTATGGAATTGGGAATACTTAATGTTTAATACAATAGCTGTACCAATATTATTGTTTAAGAACACTAATCTAAGGAAATACTAATATGAATTGAAAAAATCCTTTTGTGTTGGATAGCTTATTTATCGAGAAAGGCTATATATAACATCAAGCTACGACCAATAGGAGCCGAGCAGCAATGAAAAATGTTGCAAAAGCGGAAAAAATATTCCTTTTGAGAGACGCAGGCTAAGTTGCGCGGGTCAGCAAAATAAAGGTAAAATTTTGTAAAAACAACTACATAGAGCTACTAGGCATGCCTTTTAAGTTCTGTCGTTTCCATATTTCCCGGCAATTTTGAATTTGGAACTGTTCTATATTCGAATGTGTTTAAATTTTGAATCTCAAAACAGTTGAAAGTTTTAGGATTAATGCTATTTTTTAATCACAGCGTCGATTGGAATGTGTCAGGTTACGTACGAAAATGAATCTTTCTAAGGAAAATGTTCGTGCAATAATTTTCTACAACTTTAGAAGAGGCCTGACACGGCTTCAGTGTTTCGAAGAGCTAACATCTGTATTCAGTGATGAAGCCCCATGTCTGCGGTCTGTCGAACGCTGGTATTTAGAATTCCAGCGATCACATACTAGTGTTAGTGACAAAGCTCGCGAAGGACGCCCAAATTCCGCCTTCACTGAAGATAACATCATTGCTGTGAGACAACTAATTCTCGAAGATCGTCATGTGTGACACATCGAGAGATAGAGGCTCTATTAGGCATCTCAGGGACAACCATTTAGAAGATCTTGCATGAAGCGCTTGGTGTGAGAAAGCTAGTTTGCCGTTGGATACCGCATCTGCTTTCCGACGATTACAAGGCGGCCCGCGTCAGATGGTGTAAAAAAACTCTGCAAAGGTTCAACCGAGGAGAGTCAAATCACGTCTACGACATCATCAGTGGTGAATAATTTTGGATCTATGCCTATGATCCTGATTCCAAACAACAATCTACAATCTTGGACTTTCAAGACGAGCCAAAGCCGACTAAAGTTGTTCGTTTTCGAAGCACTTCATAGAAGATGGTGGCCACGTTCGTTGGAAAAACCGGCCATGTTGCGACACTTGAAGATCGTAGAACGGTTAACGCAGAGTGGTATACCACAGTTCGTTTACCACAAGTCATCGCCTAACTTCGAAAATCTAACTCAAAGCGACGCATCATCCTGCACCACGACAACGCAAGCTCACACAGCGCTCGTCAAAGGATTGAGTATTTGAAGCAGGAAAATGTAGAAATTCTTGACCATCCCCATACAGTCCTGACCTGAACCCTAACGATTTCTTTACATTTCCTAGAATTAAGAAAACTCTTCGTGGTCAATGGTTCCAGTCCGGTGAAGAAGCAGTCGACGCTTTCAAGTCAGACATTTTGAACACCCCCACTTTAGAGTGGAATAAATTTTATAATAACTGGTTTGAGCGAATGGAAAAGTGTATTAAGCTACGTGGTGAATACTTTGAAAAACTATAAAAAGTACTAAAAATGTTTTTTCTTCAAACGACAAAACTTAAAAGGCATGCCTCGTATAGGGGCCCATTTCAATCATGATCTTTAAAGTAACAAAAGTCTATAAAACGATAGTTCAAGTTAAAATAGTCTTTAAAACAAATCAAAATAGTCGAAATTCGTATAGGCGATATCTAGTTTCTTTAAGTGTGAAAACACGTTAACACGTGGCATTGAAACGTCACTATTATGACTGAGCTGATCTAGGACTATTAGGTCCGTGTTAATTTCCTACTTTCAAATGCCACTTAACCTTTACACTTGTAACAGTCCTAAGTAGAGCTAAAAATAGGGAAATGATTTTGTTTATTGACTTGTTTGTTTGATGGACGTATATGACGTAACTACTCAACTAATTCCTTTGAATTTTTTAAATTTTTTTAGAAGGAATAGAAACGAAAGATAGATCAATAATTTTAATGTGAGCCAAACCATGGGCCGATAAAATGTTGTAGGGTGTTTCTTGATATGTTATCTTCATAAATTTTTATGGTGTATAAAATGGAAAGTAAAAAAATAAAAGTAAAGTAATAAAATAATACCTAACTAATCTTTTAGTTGAAAAAGAACTTAATAGTACCTTTTAAAATAATACATTGTATCCAGGATCTATGTTAAACTTAATCCCACCTGAATATACATCAGTTTTTTGACTTGACACAAACCCTATACCAACCTGTCTGGCCATCGTGGTATAGTAAGCTAAAACCTCCTTTCTAAAGAGAGGCCTATGTCCAGCAGTGGACTATGATAGGCTGTTCATATGATACATCAGTTTTTTTAAACATATTAATAAATAAAACGAAGAAAGGCTAATCCCACTATTTATCACACAAAAAGGTCTAGACCGATCTTCATGATCTTTGATTTTTTGGATTTGTCTCCACCTCGAATACCAGCAGCGGAACTATTAATATTTTTTGAAAATTCACGAAAGGAAATTCATTTTCTCATGCATTGTGTATAAAATCTAACACGAATGAAGATCAGTGCTGTGACTAGAAACGCAGGTAAAACTATTAGCGAAATATAAAATCTCTTTTGGAGTTTACAGCTATCTTCCCTGACATATTTTATGTCGATGCTATTAAAATCTAATTCAGTCCTATCTTCCATTACCCGCCTCAGAGCACATCACGACCGCAGCCCGTCCTATAATGACCCAACTTCCTCGTCGGTTCTGTCACAATTATCTACTAGATGCTTTGCGGTCAGTTTCAGCATCGACGGCAACCAGTTACGTAAACCAGTGGACAATTTGTTACTACTGTTGATGTCAATTCGATAATAAGATTACTGACGGATTGAAATTGATACGCAGTTATGAAATTTGTTCTCGTTTTTAATGAAATACTTATAGACTGTTTTAGTAGTAACGTAACCTTGAATGATGCCACTGATTTCTAGTGAATCACACTTATATTGTATACATGAAAGTTTGTGAGTGTGTATTTGTATGTTTGTTACTTCTTCACGCTCAAAGGCCTGGACCAATTTTGATAAAATTTATTGAAGTGAATACTTATTTGGGCGCGTTGGACATTTTTGAACAACAAACAAAAGAATCTATTTTATGGTTTAACAAAAACCTCATTTTTTGAGATGGGAAAAACCATTAAACTCGCGACACTGTTACCGTTACCGAAACCTCTGTTGAAGTGAAACTTCCTTTGAGCGCGTTGGGCATTTTTCGAAATGGGAAAAAACATCTTACAATACCTTTTTGTAATAAATTTATTCTTATTCTTACTTCTGTCGGCACTCACGGAGTGTATTTTTTTTTTGGTATAGTGTACAAACGAGCAGACGTGTCACCTCATGGTAAGTGACTTCCGCCGCTCATGAGCACTTGCAACCCAAGAGTCACAAGTGCTTTGCCACTTTTTGAGTTCCCCTCTCAGAATAAGGAGAAGGGAGATTTGGGCGCTGAAAACCTCACGCATTCAGTGTAAAGCAGCGAAAGAATTGCCTAACACCGGTTTTCTGTGAGGTTCTATTGTGTGCCGAAACATGACACTCTCACGAGATAAATGATATACAGTTTGGAGGCAGCTAACACCTTTGAATAACACATAGAGTACATTTTATCCCAAAGAAAATTTAGTGTTCCTATGGAATGAGCGTATCTGATAAACCGTAGGTAACACAGCTAGTTGACTCATATATGAGCACGGAATATAGCTCTACTTAGTTTAGCGTTTAGCTTAGCGTTGTGTGAATATAGTAGAATATTATTGTTAACCGACTTCAAAAAAAAGAGGAGGTTTTTTCAATTCGACTGTTTTTTTTTAATGATTGTTACCTCAGAACTTTTGACTAGGTGAACCGATTTTGATGATTCTTTTTTGACTCCAAAAATAATAATTATTGGAACTACATTATATTCATTTCATAGGAGAACTCAATAAAATATTTCGATCGTTGTTTGTTATTCATAGGTATATGTTGAGTTAGATTTGAAGTGGGTAGGTTACCTATCTTCCTAGACCTTGCACCTACTACGACTGTTACTTTTTCCAAAATTTAGACAACTTTTTAGTGGGTCAAAAATTCAATTCCCGAGAGGCAGTACAAAATGCCTTTGAAGAGTTTGTTGCCTCCCGTCCAGCTGATTTTTACAAGAAGGGCATCAATAAACTGCCAATGCGTTGGCAAAGATGCGTCTATTGCATGGGTGATTACTTCGAATAACAGAAATAAAAAAGTTTGAAAAAATAAGTACTTTCACTTATTGCATACAAAACGGTAATTTCATAGGTAAAGACCTATTAGTTGGCACAAATTGTAGGTATTTAATACGTTTATGTCAACTCTATAGAGTTCTCTATATACACTTACCTTCACTGTGATTGAATCTCTCATTACCACCATCTATCAGGTTTTGGATAATTCTGCATTAATAACATTACTAACTTGACCCCAAACATGTTTTGCGTAGTCAACATCGAGTGGCCTTGCTACTAATTTTTGCCTTAACATAATTACTGTCTGTATCTTAATATATTGGCCTGTTGGTCTAGTGGTTAGTGCCCCTGACTGCTAAACCGGAGGTCGTGGTTTCGATATCCAACCAGGACAAATATTGTGTGATGAGCACGGTCATTTGTTCTGTGTCTGGGTGTAATTTATCTATACAAATCTATACAAATAAATAAAATTGGAGTGTCTGCTTGTAATATTAAAATAACCGCTTTTTACTAAATGCATATGTATGTTTACACGGTACATATGCCAAAATATTTAAATATATTTCAATTTTTGTCTGTCTGTCTGTCTGTTTGTTCCGGGTAATCTCTGGAACGGCTGAACCGATTTCGACGGGACTTTCACTGGCAAATAGCTGATGACATATGGAGTAACTTAGGCTACTTTTTTTTAGACTAAAGGCGTTGCCCGCGGTTATAACAACAAACGCGGGTAACACCGCGGGTCTCAGCTAGTCTATAATATGTATGTATTTAGAAATATATAAATATGTTTATCAGCAGTCTGGTTACCATAGTACAGGCTCTGCCTAGTATGGAATCAAACGCCGTGTGTGAGATGTGTGAGATATATTATTATTATTATATTATTATGTTCTTTACGATCAGCGGTTTATGGCCCGGCCACCGCAGAATATCCTTTTCAACTAATATACATTTAAAGTTCACAGTGATGTTCAAATTTTACCACAGGTACTATTACCTATGCTGTAACTACCAATTGCCTAATTAAACTAAGCAACGTTCTTTCGTACTTAATACAATGTTTATAATCTTCAGTACCGAAGACACATGGATGCGGTGTACGACTTCATCGTGGTCGGAGGAGGATCAGCTGGTTCTGTAGTCGCAGCCAGACTCTCCGAAGTGCCAGAGTGGAGAGTATTGTTATTGGAAGCAGGTATGGGGATGACAATTCTGGTCCTTGAAGTAGATTAAGAGTAAGCTAATTTCTTCTTTTTTTTCTTAAAAACGACAACTCCCGCATCAGGAACACATCCTGTGTCGCGAGGGACTTTAGAACATATATGAAACGGACACAAAGAACACCCAGACTCAGAACAACAATTTGTGGATCACACAAAGTGTCGTCCCATGTGGGGTTGAACCCACAACACTCGGTGTAGTAAGGAGCGACGTGGCGACCGGTTAAACCATTACGGCATCCGTGCAGTCGCAATTAAAACAACTGTATTATTTTAAATATTATTTTACAGTATCATACCTAAATTACTAAATGTACTAATACCAAGCCTTTGGTATTAGTCTTTCTGAAGATAAATCCTGCTTACCGTATAATATTTTGTTACTAGAGGATAAAAATGATCGCCGTGACAAATTTAAACCAAATGCTATCAATTGAAGGCAAGAATTCGGTTCAGTAATACAACTACGTTCTTTATAATAAACATTTATGTTTTTCTTATTTTCTAAGTAACTTTTCCAATTATTACTTTCGAAGAACGAAAAGCAATTATTGCCGTTCTGGAGTGATGCTTGTGGATTGTATCTCAGGAGGTTGAATGGCTCTGCCTCCTGATGTTTAATATTGTTCTTTATGAAGATAGACGGTCCTCCGTGGGCAGTTCCATCAGGGTGCATTGTTTGATAGAATATGTAGTTTGGAATTTTCACAAAAATTATTTGGGTATATCTAAATCTTCTAGATGAGAAAATCTCATCTAGAAGATTTAGATATACCTATAAAATGCAGAAAATGTTGTTCCAGTATTCGAAACTATGTAAGTATTGTATAGTAATATTTAGGGTTAGGATGCTATATTTCTTTAGTTAGAAAAACACATGAGCAGGATCCAAACAACACAAATGCCACATCACATTACTACTTCTTTAATCTTTCATTCCAGGTTTCGACGAGCCGACGGGAGCTCAGGTGCCGTCGATGTTTCTCAACTTTATCGGATCTAGCATCGACTGGGGTTATCAGACGGAGCCAGAACCAGCTGCCTGTCTCGGAGAAAAGGAGAGAAAATGCTACTGGCCTAGAGGAAAGGTACAGCATAGTGTCCAAGCAAGCGGCAAAGAGATAGTGTCCATAACTTCTTTAAATTTACATCTTCTTTTTGTTCTCTAGAGGTTACTCTTATCCAACACCAGACAATCCCAGAGTAATACATTACATTAAGATTTGTTACTTCCAGGTATTAGGCGGTACTTCAGTTATGAACGGAATGATGTACATCAGAGGATCCAGGAAAGACTACGACGATTGGGCATCAGCCGGCATCGAGGGCTGGTCTTACGATGATGTGTTACCTTACTTTTTAAAGTCGGAGGATAACAAGCAAGTGAAAGAGATGGACGAGGGCTATCATGCGACTGGAGGACCGCTGACCGTTGCGCAGTTCCCGTACCATCCACCCTTGAGCTATGAGATCGTGAAGGCTGGAGAAGAACTAGGTAGGAGTTCTTCTATTATCTCATTTTTGTTTAAAGCACCCTTTTGTGCAACTTCTGCCTATTCGGTAATATTGGCCTTGGATCAATAATAATCCTGTAATACTCCGTAGTACGGTGTGTCCTTGTAGTATGTGAAAGTTACCCTAAACTCATAAAACCAGAGCAATTTATTCCGTCTTGCTTTATGACTTCATCAAATTATGTCACCTCTAAACCTATTCTGTTCCTTTTTAAATATTTTTTTCGGTGTAAAGTGGCCTAAAGATAATAAGATCTACCATTCTTTACTTGTATTTTTTTATATTTTTACCAGTCTCAGCGACTAGAAACAAGAAAACTGAATAACTTTAAAACTAATTCAAATACTCAAGTATAAAACCAAAGGGCCCACTAAACACCTATGTATTATTTATTTTATTATTTTATAAGTTTGTGAATACATTGACCATTTGATTACAGTTAACTGCTTGAAATACAGTTGGTTTTTCTTGATGATATCCCCGAAATAAGCATGACTATGACATGAAAATTGATACCTACAGAATATCAACAAACCTAGCTACCAGTAAACTACGATGCACTAAATGCAAACTCCTTACAATCAACTCCTCAGGCTACAGACAACGCGACCTCAATGGTGCTCAGCACACCGGCTTCGCTATTGCCCAAACGACCAACCGCAACGGATCTCGTCTCTCTGTTGCTCGAGCCTTCCTCAGGCCAGCCAAGAATCGGTCCAACCTTCACGTGATGCTGAACGCAACTGTGACTAGAGTGCTGATCAACCAGACTACTAGACAAGCATATGCGGTCGAAGTTAGGAATAGTTATGGCGGAACAGAGACTATATTCGCCAACAATGAAATTATTTTGAGGTAAGCTTCTGGTTGTCATAATTTTTACTAACTCTTCCAAATGTGTAGCACTATTTTTAGTGCCAAAATGAGGCAAATAGTTGTAAAAGAACTGTTCTCAATTTCTATTACCAAAACTCCTCAGTGCCGGAGCAGTAGGATCTCCTCAGATCCTGCAACTAAGCGGAGTCGGTGATCCAGACGTCCTCACTCGTGCAGGAGTCAGACCTGTCCACAACTTGCCAGGAGTCGGCCGCAACTTGCATAACCACGTTGCCCACTTCTTGAGTTTCACCGTCAGTGACAACAACACCACGCCTCTCAACTGGGCCACCGCCATGGAGTATTTGCTATTTAGGGATGGACTTATGTCTGGGACTGGTAAAAAATGATGAATTTAATCTTATCAATATTTAATCGTACTGTATCCTTGATTGTGACTTAATTTTTCAGGCATATCTGAGGTAACCGCTTTTATAAACTCCAAATATGCAAATCCTGCTGAAGACAACCCTGATCTTCAGTTGTTCTTCGGAGGTTTCCTAGCTGACTGCGCCAAGACAGGCATGGTCGGGGAAAGGCTGGACAATGGTTCCAGAACCATTCAGATTATTCCCACTGTGCTGCATCCAAAAAGCAGAGGACGCTTGGAAATCAGATCAGCTGATCCGTTTGACTATCCAAAAATATATGCTAAGTAAGTACTTAATGCTCTTAATTTAGAACGTATTTGGTCCATTATAAAACGGAATTTTTTGTGGAGAGAAAAAGTCAGATGAATTCTATTATTTTATTAAATTGTAGGTATATGCTTTAGATAGATAGATAGATAGGTACTCTTTATTGCACACCATGATACATACAAAAAAAACAGTGGTTTTAGAATCTTTGTAGATTTTAAGTGTTGGTGTTAGGTAGTTATAAAGTGTTTTATTGCTTTATTTTGCAAGACTTAAATTTCTTGGATATTTGATTTCGTAGCAGTGCCCCATATTCCAACTAGGTATTCTATATGAAGTCTAACTAGAGCGTTATAGACACGGTTATAGATCATTACTCGAGCCTTATTAGAGACGTAAAAGGACATTCGACGTGGTACACAAATAACAGGAGATATTTTGAATTTAATATGTGCAATATGGTGTTTCCGTGTTAATATTGTGTCTAAAATGGGGCGTAAGTATGTTTCACTACTTGATTTTGCAATATTTTCGTTATTTATTGTTAGTTGGATTTAATTGTCAATTTTCTTATTTTTTGCAGCAATGATCATGTATGATGTTTTTTTCGTATTAATAGTTAATAAATTAGATAGAAACCAATTGTTTAGAATATTTAAATCATTTTTTGCTTCTTTCACGATATCGATTAGGGTTTGTCCAAAATAAAAGAGATAGGTGTCATCTGCGTAAAGTGCAATGCTGCCTGATGTTTAAACATTATTTTTATTATTAATATAAATTATAAACAACAGGGGGCCAAGAATCGATCCTTAAGGAACTCTGTATGTTAGTTTAGCAGGCAAACTTGCATGGTTTTCAATTTTGACATCGACCTAAGAATTTCATGTGCGTTTCCTGATATTCCTACATCTCTTAACTTGTTGAAAAGCATATTGTGGCTAAAAGAAGTTTCTCTAATAATAATATATCTTACCTTAGATAGATTGTGTTCGGTGTATATCCGCTTCTATATTTTCTTAAAGTTACTAATATTGGTAATCACTATAATTCTGATATTAAATTCATGATTGTAGCTACCTCACACATCCAGACGACGTGAAAACCTTAATCGAGGGTATCAAGTTCGCAATCAAGCTCTCAGAAACCAAAGCTCTGCGACGCTTCGGCGTCAAGTTGGACAAGACTCCAGTGCACGGCTGTGAAAAGATCAAGTTTGGATGCGATGCATACTGGGAGTGTGCAGTGAGGGTCCAGACTGGGCCAGAGAACCATCAAGCAGGCTCATGCAAGATGGGACCGAGAGGAGACCCAACCTCTGTTGTGGATAATTTGCTACAGGTAAGATACTCATGTAGGTTCTTAGTTTCTGTAGTAAATCTAAGTATTCTATATGGAATATTTTTTTGTGGGTAGGTACATAAATTGTATCACTGAACATGATATAAATTGGCTAATTTCATCCTGTCACGCAAATGACTTTTCCATCGAAATTAAGTAAATAGTATTTTCCTAATATTTCCAGGTACAAGGCATAGACCGCCTGCGAGTGGCTGACGCGAGCGTGATGCCGTCAGTCCCGTCCGGGAACACCAACGCGCCTACCGTCATGGTCGGGGAGCGAGCCGCCGACTTCATCAAGCAGCGATGGCTCTCTACTAGCCCGGTATGGTTTAATGAACATAGCGATCACTTTCCCACGAGGGATTAAAGGATTTGATGTCTCAAATTGTTTTTTCAAACATTGTGTTCTACGGAATATACCGTTTTGACGATTACCTAAGAAAAACGAACTGTAACTTTATACACAAAGTTTATACACATTCATCATTCATTCTTATGGAATATCTTTAAATAACTTTTACTTGACTAAATTAGAACACAGATATAATTATGCAATTACCACGCTGTTAGAATGAAAATTTTGTAAAATAATGAAAACTAAGTACGTGTCAGGCCACGCACAATGGATTATTTAGATTATTTCTCCCTTTTTAAAAGCTTTGTCCTATTAATTTATATTATATTATTAAGATATTTGGCGACCGATTTTGACAAATTAGCGACTAAATTTGGATGAAAACAGATCTTCATACAAGCGTGGCCCCGCTGGGAGACTGACTATGTATGACTATGTATGTATGTAAATTTGAATCCATGACTGACCCTGCTAGGATCAGTGACACTTTTCTTATGACTGCGGAACCCTAAAAACTCTTTTTAGAATATATTATAGAAATTATAAGAGGCTAATAACTAAGAGTAATAGTCAATCTAAGTGTCTAATTTATAAAAAAAAACTAACGATAACTTATCGACTATAGCAAGGATAAAGTTTTTTTTTAATTAACTTTCTATATATTTGCAGAACCTACAGCCTCTAACCCACGGTGGTCTATCAAACGTGCTGCAAGCGAGTGACACACAACAGTCCCCTCTATGGCGATGGGTCTGATGCAGCCGCATCGCCAACATCACATGCCTAAGCACTGCCGTTAGTTTCATACTACTGTAAATAATACTTTATTAAGATTATCTGGGTACGACAATTTCAGTTAGCTATTTCAGCTAGCACTTATAGTGAAGGAAAAAATATTATTTTTTCTAGTAACTAAATTGTAATTTTTACGTAAAAATCGCTGTTGGCTGAGAATCGGCGAAATAGGTAGACATAAGATATGTTAGCTAAATTTTTGCAGCTTATTGTATAGTCTTAGATATCTTACAGAATATAGCTGCAATTGAATAGGTATTCAATTCAATTTATTTTTTCTACATTTTTAAGTTTTCCTAAATTCATGAACATACAAAGGACTTATTAAGAAGCCTCCAAAAATATCCTTAAACGAAAATCTACAAAATGTATCTTTATTATTTTTATAAACGTTCTACATTATTGTACAAATTAGTATTTATTTGTATTTTAATAATTCTAGTATAATATAGAGTAAGTCTAACACTAAGTACAAAATAATTGCACTGAAGTGATAACAGCTCTAGGGCCGTGTATTGCAATCATTTGCCTAGTATATAATTTATATTTCGGCTAGGAAAGATACTTTTTGTAATAAATGTCTAAATGTAAATACACATTGTTTTTTTTCTATAGCTTTAGATATTATACTATCAAACTACGGAGGAAAATGGCACTGCAAAGAGAAGGGACACTTGAAACAAACCCTTTTTTTTTTTTTACGTGTGGAAATCCCCTCGGACCGTCACCCCACCGGGGTTTGCGGCGGGGTGGTGTGTCGGACTCGGACCGACTAAAACCACACGGTGTGCCACTCTGCGCCTGTAATAGGAGGGATCCGGGAACAGCTGTTATTAAGACATCCGGATCCCTCCTAGCGCCAGCCCGCTCCTGGTGCGGGCTCAAAATTTTCCTCTCTTTAGGCGACGTCCGGCACACGCGGACGCCGCCCCCTCGCGGCTGGCCAAACTAATGCGGGTAGAGGGGAAACCCACCCCATCCACCCGCGGCCACACTCAGGGCGGCATGAGGCGGTGATAGGCGCGCCTCCGCCGCCCGGTTCGCCGGCGGCGGATCGGGTCCGAGTGGAGGTCGTCCTCCCGGGCCTTCTCCGCCGCCTCCTTCTGCGAGATTACTTCCTCGCAGAAGGTTGCGACCGCGGTAAATCAACTGTCGCTACCGGCCATGGAGCGTACTACGGCCGGTAGCGAGAGATCCACTCCGATGACTGCAGTGAGGGCCCGGCGCTGCGTCGCCCATGCGGGGCATACCGCCGGGCCGAGTCCTCACTGCAGTCGCAGTGGTGGCAGGCGGGACTCAGTTCCCTCCTAGTGACCGAGTGCAGGTACTTTCCGAAGCAACCGTGCCCGGAAAGCACCTGCGTCAGCCGGAAGGTAAGGGTCCCGTGCTGCCGCCCCGCCCACTCGGCGATGACCGGCTGGAGAGCCTCCAGCCGGAACGACCAACAAGCCATCGTGGCTCGGCGAGCGGCTTCGCGCCACTCGCGCACGTCTTCGGGCGGAGGGCGAAATCCGCTCTCCGCCCGGGAGTCAGCCACTCGCCGATAAACCTCGGCGAGCTCTTCCGCCTCCAAATCCCACGGGGGAGTTCCGGCCAACGCGCACGCCACCTCCGTCGAAACGGTGCGGTAACCGCGTATGGCTCTGACCGCCATTACCCTCTGAGGGCGCCAGAGGCGTGCCCTAATCTGGGCGGTCAGAGCCGCCGCCCACACCGGTGCACCGTATAGTGCCATTGACCGGACAACCCCCGTGTACAGCCGTCTTGTCGCGACGCTGGGTCCACCCAAATTGGGCAAAAGTCGCCCTAGGGCAGACGCAGCGCCGACCAGCTTTGGAGCAAGCTGTCGGAAGTGCTCGTCGAGAGCCACCTCCCGTCGAGGATCAGGCCCAGATATTTCATCTGGGCCCGAACCGGTACGAGGACCGAGTTGACCACGATTGAGGCGCCAGGGGGTGGACCACGACGGGGCCCATGAAATAACAGGGCCTCCGTCTTATCTAGGGCCACCCGTAAGCCCAGCGCATCAATGCGCCCGACCACCAGGGAGACTCCCCTTGTGGCCAGGCGCGCCGCCTCTTGGACTTGAAACAAACCCTATACCAACCCGTCTGGCCAGCGTGGTATAGCAAGCCAAAACTTCTTTGATAAGGAAAGGCTTATGTCCAGCAGTGGACTAGTAAAGGCTGTTGATGGGAGATGTGATGTGATGTGTTATAATTAAATTACACCCAGACACAGTTCAAATGATTTTGCTCCTCACATAACTATTTGCCGTGAGTGGGAATCGAACTTCTGGCGCAGCAGCAAGGATCAATATCCACACCAACAGGTCCAGTCGAATAACCAAACAATTTGTCACACAAAATAAAACGTACACGTTACATATAAAAGAAATTCTTTATTGCACAGGGATATTCAAAATACTTAACCGAATAACAATTTAATATACACAAAACGTAATCGCTTGGCATCATTAAACTAGTGTTTTTATACATTGCCATTAACAATATATTAATATAAACAGCGAATTTGTGTATAAACACAGGACAATGACATTCTAATCGTTGTTTGAGGACCGGTGTACAATAGGATACGATTAAGACTTCTGGTTTTATCTTGAAATTTAGTTTGTTACTAAAAATACTAGTATTTCTTAATTTCTTATTTAGAAACAAAACTCCCGCACTAGGAACAAATCCTGTGTAGCAGGGGACTTTACAAACATACATGTAACGCACCCAAAGAACACCCAGAATCAGAACAATAATTGGTGGATCACACAAAATGTTGCCCTTAATCCTTACTTAAACCCGCAACACTCAGTGCAGTAGAAAGAGGCGGGGTGACCACCTAACCCACTACGCCATCCATGCACTACTGCACGGATGGCGTAGTGGGTTAGGCATATCTTTACTATGTATTATCTACGTAATACATAGCTAAAATAGCGACTACAAGCAACGATCTTGATCCGTTAGAACTCACTCTACACAATATATCCGCATGAGCAATATCTCTTTTCTACCAGTGCTCTTTTCCTTCTTGTCTACTTTCCCTTTAACATCAAATTTCCTCATTTTCCTACGTAACTCTTAGTGTCCCATTGAAGGCAATAAGCTTGCCAAGTGACAAATTATTTTCATGTCCGACATTATCACAATGTCCGGGTCCTCCTCAAAATACTCCCACTACTGCAGTCGGCACCTCATCAACTCATCATCAGCCTATCGCAGTCCACTGCGGGACATAGGTCTCTCCTATTGCACGCCACTTAGATCGATTTTGGGCTTCAAAACATTAAAAATTAATTTAAATTAGCCAAAACATATTTCAGCATTTTATACATTGGTGGTACAAAACCAGCAGTCGCCGCCATATCCGCATTGTACACAAACCTGTTTCGCAAAGAACTTTGGTACAGACAAGTAAAGGAAATGGATCAATGGCACGATGATACATTATACGAAAATAATTAATTTTATACTTTATTACAATATACACATGCCTTAAAATAACTTACCCTGGGCGATAGCCTCGGGTACGAAAAACGAATGATTGGTGCACACGATCATATATATATATATATATAAAATATACACAGCATTTGCTAGTATTCTGTATCAGTTTTATATAAGAATAGGGACTGATTATAACACAATTTTAAAGTTGGAATGAGTGAATGAATTCAAACCCTGTACCTTAAATTATATTGTGTTCAGGTTTCTGCGGATTACACAAAATATATTAAGAATATTGATATCATATTCGTGCTATATGAATATCTGTGATTCCCCCAAAGCACATTTTCACTGTAAATTGAGTTTTTTTCGATGATAAAATATATATTTATTTATTTTATCATAAAATAATATTTTAGGTGCATCTCTATTAAGTAGCACTGATAGCTTGTAGACACTGGTTGGTTTTAGATTTTATTTTAAGCAAAAAATCTACTCTGTGGTCCACGCTCGTGCGACCCTTACAATTTCTCATCAAAATTCTGCCGTAAGTAGTTAGGAACACGATTCTTCGCCTCCTTAGTTCCTTTTCTCGCTAGCTACATATAATTGTGTGCTAAAGCCACTGTATCGATTATAAAATAAAATATTAGAACCGTGTACACCGGCGTATAATATCAATAATAATATATTACTTAAACATGTATGTGTCTAATACTTATATATCATATCTCACTAGAATTTATTAAGCATTACGACATTGTGCCCTAAGCCTTAGTATATTAATATAAAAAGTAATAATAGGCGGGCTCGGTGACAAGCCACGCGACTAAAATAACTAGAATAGCCAATGGTATTAATTCTGTTGTTCGGAAACTAAACTAAACTAATAATCACTGAAAATTTGTTTAATCCTGTTTAACCTAGTACTTGACAGGACTACACTAATTGTTAGTGATTTTTAGTTTAGTTTAGACAGTTTTCGATCAACAGAATTAGCACTAATAACACATAATTGTAACACTAAATAGTCTCAGCGCTAAAAAAATATTATCTTATTATTTAGTGTTACGCATTTCAAATGTTTCACATCAGTCACTTGTGCCTTCAATTTACATACTTTCAGAAACTTTTATGTATGTTTCATTCTTTTTTAAAGACAACTCACGCATTAGGAATATATCCTGTGTCGCGGGGGACTTTACAAACATACATGAAACGGACACAAAGAACACCCAGACTTCAACATACAGACCCAGACTGTATGTTGAAGGACACAAAACTAAATGACGACCAAAGGAAACGTGAATGTACTGTTTTCAAGGGGGTTTGAGACGATCTAAGCAGTGAACTTATGACAGCGGAGAATAAAAGAATGCGAAAAGGGGAAAAACTCGAACATTTATTGAGGGTTTTCTTTTTGGTTTTACTTAATATAAGCACTGACAGAAAACATTTGAAAGCGCCCGATATCTATGTACGTATGTATATATATAACATATTCCAATGAGTAAAATATAGCACATCACGTTAATTACAGTTACTCCACGTCAGTCTCAATTATATAATATGGAAAACGTGTGCGTCTCGGGACGGCCGACAGAAGTGATAACTTAAACTAATCTAAGTTAAACAATTTAATATTAAAACTGTAAACTTAAGAAAAGTTTAGGTTATTACTTAAATTTAATGTTAAGCGTCTGTCCGAGATTCGACTAGCGCTGTGGGTTAGAGTGAGAGTGGAGGAGCCTGCCTACCGCTGCCGTATGCGTGAGGGAAAGGGAAGCCAGATAGACTGGCGCCGTAACGCGTTACGTAACGTAGCGGTTTACCCTCTCATAAGAAGTTCTCACTTCAAAAACGCTAGGCGACACCGGGTGACGCTCTTTTGTATTTGTTCATACATCCAACTGTACTACTGACGGACCCAACCGTGGCCATCCCTCACGAGCAGCAGTCATCTTGACTGCTTAACATGATTGATAAATTGATGGTATAATGATGTAGCGTTGACAATACGTCAATAACTAACTTGAGATTGGAGCGCCGACTAAACAAATTACGATAAATATATAAAAACTATAGATTATTTTACAAGTAATTAGGTATTCATAAAAATATCATATTTATAATTACATTTATAATCTACAGCCCCACAAGAATAGCGTTATTACAATAATTTAGAAAAACATACGTTACAAACAGCCAGACATCCAATTGGCTACATGCCTTCTCTCTAACAAAAACACTGGTACAATGGTTTATAAATCAGACATTGATTTACAATCTATAAAATAGATACCGCACTTTAAAAAACAATAGCAAGAAATCTACATATAATACAAGACTTCTTTTACTAAATATTTAATTGGACTATATTGGCCAAGGGCAAATAAATAGCACGCAGATCGCACCACCGATGTTGGTTCAGTTTGATCAAATGTCTTGTATATTCACTCAGAACTGCCAATCGTTTTCTAACAGGGAGTATTACGAATAATATTAAAAAAGCCGCACATCTCCAACCTTCTTATTAACAAATATAACTGTAATAAAGCTCACACTACACAGCGCCACGAAACTTAAAAGAACCAACAATAGGAATGCATACACACACGGATAACAAACAACACAGTCCCTTCCGTGAACCGCGCGAGAATATAACAACACCACAACTATAAATAATAATTAACATCAAATTATAAATATTACATATTTTTATAGCGAGTTCTTCTCGTTTACGCTATTGGCGAACGGCTAAACGTACGTGCGTACACGCGTATATGCGTACACATGCGGACACACTTACGTTAAATATAATTTCATATTTTATACCGAAAGTATTTTAGATATTGCATGATTTTTTTGTTTTATCGGTATTTAAAAAAAACATATAATAACAAACACAACAGTACCTTTTTTATATCCCCGATAATAAATTTGAGCGTTTGTCTTTACCGTGGTCCCATACGCAAGATGTACCGAAGTACACCTCGAACAGTTCTATCGAATACCCGGGGACCCATTACACTTATGCCGATAACAACACTCCGGCTCTGACTCAATTTCACGTACAAAACCCACAACCACTTACTACGTTCCGTTTCACATATGTTATTTTCATGTGACGTTATAAAAATTTAAAAATAAAAAGCAATTACAATTTTCGTAGACCAACGACAAAGATAGATACTTTAACATATCTTATTGTTTATAGTTACCAAGTATTTTATCAGTAGGTATATCCTATAATTTATAAATCACAAAGCAACTCTTTACAATAGAACTATTATCTAAATAATCGAGCACATTTTCTTCAAGTCTGTGTCGTCTGGATCGAGGATGTCCGGATCTTTGACTGTGGGCTCTTTTCCCTCTATGTCGGGTAGGTATGCATCATACCTAGAAAAATAAAATAGGAGTCAATAAATCAAACTCATAATTGTCGTCGTAGTAGAAAAGGGAGTGGGGAGTCAGTGGGAGAGTGAGTTGGAAAGTAAGTAGGAGAGTGGTAGAGTGTAGTCGGGAGAGTGAGCGGGAGTGAGCGGGAGTGAGTGTACCTGAGCCCCTGGCGCTCGTAGAAGAGCAGGTAGGCGGCGGCGGGGTCGATGGGCGGCGCGGGCGCGGGCGCGAGCTCCCGGCACGAGCTGTCGTTGTAGAGTGTAGTCGGGAGAGTGAGTGAGCGGGAGTGAGTGTACCTGAGCCCCTGGCGCTCGTAGAAGAGCAGGTAGGCGGCGGCGGGGTCGATGGGCGGCGCGGGCGCGGGCGCGAGCTCCCGGCACGAGCGGTCGTTGTAGAGTGTAGTCGGGAGAGTGAGTGAGCGGGAGTGAGGGTACCTGAGCCCCTGGCGCTCGTAGAAGAGCAGGTAGGCGGCGGCGGGGGTCGATGGGCGGCGCGGGCGCGGGCGCGAGGTCCCGGCACGAGCTGTCGTTGTAGAGTGTAGTCGGGAGAGTGAGTGAGCGGGAGTGAGTGTACCTGAGCCCCTGGCGCTCGTAGAAGAGCAGGTAGGCGGCGGCGGGGTCGATGGGCGGCGCGGGCGCGGGCGCGAGCTCCCGGCACGAGCTGTCGTTGTAGAGTGTAGTCGGGAGAGTGAGTGAGCGGGAGTGAGTGTACCTGAGCCCCTGGCGCTCGTAGAAGAGCAGGTAGGCGGCGGCGGGGTCGATGGGCGGCGCGGGCGCGGGCGCGAGCTCCCGGCACGAGCTGTCGTTGTAGAGTGTAGTCGGGGAGAGTGAGTGAGCGGGAGTGAGTGTACCTGAGCCCCTGGCGCTCGTAGAAGAGCAGGTAGGCGGCGGCGGGGTCGATGGGCGGCGCGGGCGCGGGCGCGAGCTCCCGGCACGAGCTGTCGTTGTAGAGTGTAGTCGGGAGAGTGAGTGAGCGGGAGTGAGTGTACCTGAGCCCCTGGCGCTCGTAGAAGAGCAGGTAGGCGGCGGCGGGGTCGATGGGCGGCGCGGGCGCGGGCGCGAGCTCCCGGCACGAGCTGTCGTTGTAGAGTGTAGTCGGGAGAGTGAGTGAGCGGGAGTGAGTGTACCTGAGCCCCTGGCGCTCGTAGAAGAGCAGGTAGGCGGCGGCGGGGTCGATGGGCGGCGCGGGCGCGGGCGCGAGCTCCCGGCACGAGCTGTCGTTGTAGAGTGTAGTCGGGAGAGTGAGTGAGCGGGAGTGAGTGTACCTGAGCCCCTGGCGCTCGTAGAAGAGCAGGTAGGCGGCGGCGGGGTCGATGGGCGGCGCGGGCGCGGGCGCGAGCTCCCGGCACGAGCTGTCGTTGTAGAGTGTAGTCGGGAGAGTGAGTGAGCGGGAGTGAGTGTACCTGAGCCCCTGGCGCTCGTAGAAGAGCAGGTAGGCGGCGGCGGGGTCGATGGGCGGCGCGGGCGCGGGCGCGAGCTCCCGGCACGAGCTGTCGTTGTAGAGTGTAGTCGGGAGAGTGAGTGAGCGGGAGTGAGTGTACCTGAGCCCCTGGCGCTCGTAGAAGAGCAGGTAGGCGGCGGCGGGGTCGATGGGCGGCGCGGGCGCGGGCGCGAGCTCCCGGCACGAGCTGTCGTTGTAGAGTGTAGTCGGGAGAGTGAGTGAGCGGGAGTGAGTGTACCTGAGCCCCTGGCGCTCGTAGAAGAGCAGGTAGGCGGCGGCGGGGTCGATGGGCGGCGCGGGCGCGGGCGCGAGCTCCCGGCACGAGCTGTCGTTGTAGAGTGTAGTCGGGAGAGTGAGTGAGCGGGAGTGAGTGTACCTGAGCCCCTGGCGCTCGTAGAAGAGCAGGTAGGCGGCGGCGGGGTCGATGGGCGGCGCGGGCGCGGGCGCGAGCTCCCGGCACGAGCTGTCGTTGTAGAGTGTAGTCGGGAGAGTGAGTGAGCGGGAGTGAGTGTACCTGAGCCCCTGGCGCTCGTAGAAGAGCAGGTAGGCGGCGGCGGGGTCGATGGGCGGCGCGGGCGCGGGCGCGAGCTCCCGGCACGAGCTGTCGTTGTAGAGTGTAGTCGGGAGAGTGAGTGAGCGGGAGTGAGTGTACCTGAGCCCCTGGCGCTCGTAGAAGAGCAGGTAGGCGGCGGCGGGGTCGATGGGCGGCGCGGGCGCGGGCGCGAGCTCCCGGCACGAGCTGTCGTTGTAGAGTGTAGTCGGGAGAGTGAGTGAGCGGGAGTGAGTGTACCTGAGCCCCTGGCGCTCGTAGAAGAGCAGGTAGGCGGCGGCGGGGTCGATGGGCGGCGCGGGCGCGGGCGCGAGCTCCCGGCACGAGCTGTCGTTGTAGAGTGTAGTCGGGAGAGTGAGTGAGCGGGAGTGAGTGTACCTGAGCCCCTGGCGCTCGTAGAAGAGCAGGTAGGCGGCGGCGGGGTCGATGGGCGGCGCGGGCGCGGGCGCGAGCTCCCGGCACGAGCTGTCGTTGTAGAGTGTAGTCGGGAGAGTGAGTGAGCGGGAGTGAGTGTACCTGAGCCCCTGGCGCTCGTAGAAGAGCAGGTAGGCGGCGGCGGGGTCGATGGGCGGCGCGGGCGCGGGCGCGAGCTCCCGGCACGAGCTGTCGTTGTAGCACAGCCACGCGCCCGACGGGTTGCGGCAGTACGCCACGTAGTGCCCGCCGCTCAGCTGCCCCGAGTGCGACTGCCGACAGAGGACCACATCAATATACGATGCAAAGCGACGGCCGGGAGGCCATTACACACACGTCAAGGCACTCTCTTGTCATACCGCGTCACACACGACCGTGTCGACGTATCAAAGGCGCCTGGTCGCGCGTAGCGTCTTGTAGAAATTTAATAATTACTACTACCAAAACTAATCCCTTTATGTCATCCGTAGACTCTGACTATGATAAAAATACCTTTTATGTTCCATAATTATATTTCTTACTTAAATTGTTATATAGGGTTTTCCAATAAGAGGTGTTATTTTAGTATTCAAAGAAAAATGCAATTTTTTAAGATAAATAATCGGCTGTTTATTTTATAATAAAGAGGAAGGTATGCCGTTAATAATGGAAGATAACATCAGCCAAATGGCTACCACGACCACGCTTACAGGACCATATCCTTTTAATGAAATTTTGCAGGACCAAATCGCAAAGTGGCTGCCCTATGTCCTCGATAGCCTCACGAATTCCATCTTTGAGGTCTTGAATCGACGCTGGGCTGTTGGCGTAGACCTTATCTTTCACGTGGCCCCAAAGGAAGAAGTCGCAAGGTGTTAAATCACAAGATCTCGGTGGCCAACTGTGGTCACCTCTTCGAGAGATAACACGGTCAGGAAACTTTCCCCGTAAAAGAGCAATGGTTTTGTTGCTTGTGTGGCACGGAGCGCCGTCTTGTTGAAAGTAAACGTTGTCCAGATCAATACCATCCAACTCCGGCCATAAAAAATCATTAATCATATCTCGATAGCGCAATCCATTCACCGTAAGTGTTGATCCAACCTCATTTTCGAAAAAGTAAGGTCCAATGACCCCGCCGGACCATAAACCGCACCAAACAGTCACACGTTGAGGATGGAGATGCTTCTCAACAATAACTCTTGGGTTTTCGGAGCCCCAGAGGCGACAATTTTGCTTGTTGACGTAGCCTCCTAGGTGGAAATGGGCCTCATCAGTCAAGATGATTTTTCGATGGAATTCCGGATCATTTTCATGCATTTCAAGTACCCAATCAGCAAAGAAACTGAGTTAACTGAACTTTATAAGCCTTAAGACCCAAGTCTTTATGCAAAATACGGTGTAATGACGTTTGTGGAATGCCCAATTCCAAAGAACGACGAGGAATGGACAAACCTGCGTTTTCTTGAACACTTTGGGCTACAGCAGCAATATTCTCAGTTGTTCTTGAGCGACGTGCACGGGTTTTATTCTTCACCTCACTAACTTGTCCCAACAGCTCGAATTTTTCCACCAATTTCTGTATTGCGGTCCGACAATTTGCTTCACGACGACCAAAAAATGCTTTAGTTTTGCGAACTGTGACTGCAAGATTTTCACCATTTTTGTAGCGAATTTTAATAATTTCAATGCGTTGTTGAAGTGTGTATCGTTCCATTTTTAGTAATGGCGTAGTTTCTACTTGTCAAATGTCAAAAAATAAAAGCTTCAAAAGTGACAGCTACCGAAATACCGGGTGATTCAAAATAACACCTATTGTTGGAAAACCCTATACTCTGAATGTTTTAAATTTTAGGATCCTATAATAATAGTGTAAAAAAAACCTTGCACCTGTAAGTACTTTATTTCTGTAATTCCTGTCTTTCTGTAAGTACTTCTACGACAAGTTATTTTAAAAACAATGATAAAGGATTTCAATTTTTGTATTTTTTTCTATAACAATATAAATTAAAACCAATAAAATTATATATGTACTTACAACAACAGCATACAATCTGTATTTGAGTTGGAAGGGGTCCTGGTCGTTGAGCAAGTGATGCTGATGGTAGTCAATCAGGTTGTCGTCCGTCACTGGAGTCGTCACAAGGCTGGTGGACTCCAGCCGCTGTCTCCCCCGCACTTCCCCTGAGCTCTTGCGTTTACTCCCTACTTTCTCTTTAGGTATGACCTGGCGAAAATGTATTTGTTGGCTTATACAAGCGCACCACATCAATATCGATAGTTTATGTGTTGGACTGTTTGTAATGTCCTACACGGGTACACTAAAGACATACGAAAAACTTTATTCCATCAGTCACAAATACAAATTTCAAAATTCCGATTTTTACCTAACCTAAAGAATTCAATAACAGTAGAATGATAAGCGACGCAAGTATAAGAAAAAAACACAGTAACAAAGTAGACGTCTTTAAATTACATTAAACGTTACGCTTTTGAATACATATGTGTAACTGAATATTTTACTTTCTGAATCAGAATTAGAATCTATTCGAAGTATTGAAAATCGGAATATCGTTTTTCGGACCGAGAATCCATCGAGCATTTGATTCCTCGAACGTATAAAAATTGGAAAACAAACAAATCGCATTTACGAGTTTCGGTATAATAAATTTTGACGATTTAAATAAAATACATTATAATTCTTAGGTAATGTGAAATTCGGACTTGAAAATCGGAATATCGAAATTGGGGATAAAATATTTCGGAGTATTTGGGTATTCCCGTACTACACGTATCCGTGTGATGACGGATTAAGAATACAGAGTGTCGTGTACCATCGTATGACCCGTCTGCTCGATTGCCGTGTACAGATGCCGTGTGCCGTTGCAGATGTGACCACCAGACCTTGCACCTACCGACTATTACTTTTTCCAAAATTTAGACAACTTTTAGTGGGTAAAAAATACAATTCCAAGAGGCAGTACAAAATGCCTTTGAAGAGTTTGTTGCTTCCCGTCCAGCTGATTTTTACAAGAAGGGCATCAATAAACTGCCAATGCGTTGGCAAAGATGCGTCGATTGCATGGGTGATTACTTCGAATAACAGAAATAAAAAAGTTTGAAAAAATAAGTACTTTCACTTATTGCATATAAAACGGCAATTTCATAGGTAAAGACCTAATATATTCCTAATGCGGGAGTTAAAAAAAAAAGTCAGTACCTTTTCTTTAGGCGCGGAACTGAAATGCACGTCATCGTCGTCATTGTCCGTGTCCGATTCGGAAATGGTGTCGTCGACGAACACCGAGGAGCGAGGCTTGAAGCTGCTGATGTCCATGTGCCGGAGGATGGTCTCCTGCGGCACGGACGCCAGGTACTCCGTCGGGTCGAAGTCTTGGAACGGAAAGTTCACCACCTTTTGGGATTTTATCCATTTGTTGTTTACGTACTGGAAGCGTTTTAGGTGAACTATCTGCAAAGAAGGGATTCGTTTGAAATTATCTGTAAGCTGAAGCGGTAAATAACTGTTTTGCCTTACCAGTATCTTTAAAGATATATAATAGTGACCAAAATGTAGTTCAGATAATGCTGTATTGGCACGCGCGTGTGGTATGATCAAATTACTTTCTTAAATACCGTCCCGGTGACTGGCAGTGGTGGGGCTGGTCCAGCCGCTCGCTCGACGTGACGTGGTGTACACAACACTCACCATGATGGGCGGTAGCCTCCATATCTGCAGCTTCTTGGTGGCGGGCTGCGCGGAGCGGCACCCGTCGCAGTGGTAGGGCTGCTCCAGCCGCTCGCTCGACGTGAAGGCGCGCAGGCACGACGCCAGGTCCACGGCGCGGGCCGCCTCTGCGCGAGACGCGCGGACCGACCAGTGCTCTACCAGCTCCTGTCGATAGATAACGACATAAAATGACATATACAAATTTTGGAAACTCAAGATCGATTGAAAATGAATCCTGGGTTAGCTTGCATTGCGGCGTTTACCACGTATTTTGCTGTTTTAGGTCTAGGCTTTAACCTATGTTTACGAAGTGAAATAGGCATACCTTTTCTCTCGTTGACTGGTATCTTAAATGCAGAGCAGTGGGGTCCCAGTCAATGGCCAGCACCACGGAGCCGCGTCGCGCGGCAGACAGCAGGGCGCCCAGCTCCATGCCGTCCACGGTACAACACTCGCTTTCGCTCTGGAATACAGCCGTTCGTTCATAGCTGTCGTACTTTAGTAGTAAAATACGCCTTTAACGTTTACTATAGATTCAAAATATGTCATATCGCATAGAGTTTATTTTATAGAGATATAAACATAGAGAGAACACCAGCTAACTAACTGCTACCTTTAAGCGATACAGGCAAAGAGAGAGATGGTGGCCCGATAGATCCTTCTGTCTCTGTTCAACTAAGCTGTGATTGGCTACTTATTAACCCCTCATATTTCCCAGCCAACCATAGAGCTCGACTAGAAAGAGATAGAGTCATCTATCTATTATCCATCTCTCGTTGCCCATATTGCAAGATTGGGGCTCTCGTTCAGTCTATGTTTCTACTTCCAAGGTTCATTGCCTGAAATATTAATAAATATAAATGAAAAGCATCGATGAGCTCACTTCTACGAAATCGGTGGAGAGTCTGGCGGCAGCCAGCCTGTTGAGCTTGGCCTTAGCTATGGGCGAGCTGGAGTCGGGCACGTCGCTCTCCAGCGCGGCGGGCGCCACGCTCGAGCGCTTGCGGGCGCGTCGCCGTTTGCCTGCAAGGGTCGCGCGGTTAGTGCCGGGTGGGCGGGGGTGTGGGGGCGGGTGTGTACGGGCGGGGCGGGCCACTCACCGGGCGGGTCGAAGCAGACGGGCGTGTCGTCGGAGGGCAGCGTGCAGCCGCGGCACAGGCGGGGCCAGGCGCAGCGCGCGCACCACGCGCCGCCCGCGCGCACCACGCGCACGCGGAACGGGAACTCGTAGCCCAGACTGTCGTCGCTGGAACCGGTCGCATACATATATAACGTGCATTGCTGTTCTACCAAAACTACGATAACGTTTTTCTATAAATGTATAGTTGTAAACAAAATATTATTATACTGGCGGGTTCAACGTAGATACTAATAATTGTGGCTACGGCTCGACGGTCGTTGGTATCCTGCATTTTATACCTCTAATATTTTCTAAAATATTTATTTTAATAATATATTGTAAAAAGCAATTCTAATCTACTTTAAATGCACAACGTAGCTAACGTTTGTAAAAATCCTTTTTTTTTGTAATTTTTCAAATTTAAAAATGGTTACTATGGGTTATCCTTGGGAGATATACCTTCGCAGACTTTTTTTTAAGATATACAATTCCATAGTACATTTATTGGTCTATCTCGTTAGGTTTAAACTACAAAATTTCAAGTTTAAAATTAATTCTAAGTATGAGATTGCCCCTTACACAGATCGTAGCAGATCCTTCTGACCGGATCATTCGATGTTCTCGTATACGTGATTCATGACACTGCGTACCTAAATGCAATAAGTGTAAAGCACTAACCAATCGGTGGCGTGGTTGTGCTGGTCGTGGTGCTTGGGTCGCGCGCTGAGCAGGCGCGCCACCTGCGCCCACACGCGCGCGTACAGCTCGCGCCCCGACAGCGCCGCGCCCCCCGCCCCCCGCCCGCCACGCACGCCCACCAGCAGCGGCACGCCGAACAGCGACGAGCGGCTGCGCTGCCACGGCAGGAAGTACGCGTCCGACCGGCACTGCTTCCTGAAGCACCACACCCAATAGCGTCGTTATAATTCATTCGTGTCACACAGCTTTTGTATTATGTCATCGAACCTAACGAATTCGATTTATACGAGACACGAATGCTGTGTAATTCAGTTTCGCTCATAAACTAGTTCGATGGTGAAAATGATAATTAAAAACCATACCATTAATCAGCGACACGAGCCTAGGATGACAGGAAAGGCAAATCGAACTCTTTCATCTAAGATATGCTACGACTCGATTTGCCGTTAACGCCTATTTAAATTTCTATCGTCATTCGATTATCAAATTTGTAATAAGTTTGCCGGTCTCAAACTATTGGCACTTCAAAAACCTTTTCGTTTCCCTGGTCTCTCTCCGATGTCCAACTGTATTCAGTTCGCATGCTTAGCTTGTTCTTATCACGTAACGGAACTAACCTGTGAACCGCGACCAAATACTGCAATTTGCCAGTAGCCGGCACGACAGTGGGAGGGGAATCCATCTTGCACATGTTGGAGGGCGACGAGCCGAACTTGACCTTAGGCAAACGCGGGCTCGACGGCTTCATGTTCAACGACTTAACGCTTAAAGTCGGGGAGCTGTTCCCGTTCACTTCTTTCTTCAAGTCTTTGGGCAGAGTGCTGCTCCGATAGCTGTGGTCGGTATACTTCGCCTGGTTGTAGAATGTGTTCGGTGGACTCTGGGACATAAGAATTTCCGATCTCGACCGCTGAAATCGTTGTTCGGTTATGTAGTGTATTTCAGAATGTGCGTCGTACTTGGTGCTTGCCAAGTTTTAGATTCACCGTTACACATGGATTTCAACGACTGAAATATTCGAGGTTCAACATTTCGTTGAATTATTTCAAGATTTTTTTTGAAAAACGAGGTACTTACATCATTTCGTACATTTTATTTAAAACGAGTAATAAAATTGTAAGCAATTTTAAGTTGGTTATCAACCGGATTGCTGTCTGAAATAAAAAATGACTATAATATTAGCGTCCAATTATTTAAAAAGGCTGGTAAAATGCAGGGAGTTTTAGACAGCACATTATATTTACAAATAAAGAAATAGGAAATCATGAAGCACTCTTTTTCTATACATATATATAACAGAGGCAACTACCATGAACCAAAAATGTTTATGCACACGCGCGTCTAGCGAAATTTAGCAAAACGTAATTTGGAACACAATAGAACTGTAATGACGAACTACAACGACACACCGGTGATTGGAACATAATAAGATGATTTGATACGACATGTGAAATAAACCACACTCACCCAGGACATACTGGGCCAACTAATAAATGGAAACACAACAAAACTTTTCGTTCAATGGAGGATTTATTCTAAGTGGTTGGGTTGACAAAAAAGTTTTTATTTTATAGTGAGAAAAAGGTTGTAAATTGTTTTTAGGAACGTTAATAAAATTCAGGTATTGTTACCGAGAACAATATCTATCTATTTTATCAAGTAACTGCATACAAGACAGACGTGGTGTTATGGAAATTTTAATAAATTCCTTTTAATTTCACAGAAAAAAACACTTCAGCTTTTCTTGGTTTGATTATTTTTCAATAACTACATATGTATTGAGTTTTATATTTAGATAATCGCTATCTATGCATGTATCTCTCTAGAAAAAAAATCCGTCGCCGAGCTACTTCACGTGTAAACTGATGCACTTGCCAACATTATATTTTTACATTTTCAGAAATATTTAAGTATGTTTATCAGCGGTCTGATTACCATAGCATAAGTCCTGCCTAGTTTGGAATCAGACTGCCGTGTGTATTATTAGTTATATAAGTTACACACAATCAATTGAAACTTATAATTTACATATATACATAAATTTAGACTTGCAACGAATATTCGGTTACTATTCGGTATTCGGCCTATTCGGCTGCTCTTATTATATTCGGCCGAATACCGAATACTTAAATAATATATTTTGTCATTGAGAAATAATTGGTAAAATGAAAAATTAAAATCGATTGATTACGTATATATTCATATTTTCATTTCTGTTATAATCATTTAAGTAGTCATTGGTGCATAACACAGGTACATAATCATCTTATGAATTGGAAAAATTTAGGATTCTATGTATTTGAATTATTGTGGTAATCAAAATTTAGAAGGGTAAGGTTCTCATTTCTTTTATAATCATTTATTAAGTAGTCATTGGTACATAAAACAGGTACATAATTTAATTCAGGTCTGTACAAGTTTTTGGCGCTAAAATCCAGCCGAATACTTTTGCCTAATATTCGGCTATTCGGTCGGGGGCCTCGCCGAATATTCGGTATTCGGTATACTGCCGAATATACTATTCGTTGCAAGTCTACATAAATTAATTATTGTCTATTGTACCCAGGCGGAAAGGACATACGTTTGAGCGCCGGGCTATTAAACCTAGATGTCTTACACACATGATCATTTTACTCAAAAGAAAGATGAATAGTTTTTGGATTAAATAGGTAGTTTAAATATGTAGTGTATTTTTTTTAAAGACGATTCCCGCACTAGGAATAAATTCTGTATCGCGAGGGACTTTACAAACATACATGAAACGGACACAAATGATATCCAGTCTCAGAACAACAATTTGTGGATCACAGAAAGTGTCGTCCCATGTGGAGATCGAACCCACAATACTCAGCGTAGTAGGAAACGGCAAGGTGACCCCTTAAACCACTATGACATCCGTGCAGTCAATCATATTCCCTTAACATTGTAAATAAATCCTTATTGAACGAAAATGTCTGACTAACAAAAACATAAAATCTGTCTACTTCAATAGTGTAACAACACAAAATGGCGGTGTGGTGCGTTCTAGTGTGTTCTGGAAACTTTACCTTCCGTGTGTAAAGTGTAGGTTGTTCTGCGACGTCACGAACACAAACATAAATATTTACACACACATTGTTAGTTATTTATAACGATTTATTTCTCATTGTTAAGAGTAATTCAGACAAATTTATATAATTGTATGTAAGTTTGTTCGCTGACTCTAATAAATCCTGTACAAGTTTATTTACAAAATAGTAGTGTACCTTTACTGAAAACAACAAGTGAGTGACTATTTTTTCTCTACGTGGGAATTGAACCCACAACACTTTCTAGCTAATCAATAGGGAATATGCACGTGACACCAAAATGGACAAAATATTTTTATTTGTAATTTTTATTGCTAAAAAATGATACCCATACAATTATTTTTGAAATTTATTATACTTTAATAGTGAAATTTAATCATCAAAAATTGGCTTTTTTAAGATTCCCTCGCAAATTTCTAAAACGCAACGCTATTGGTTGAATAAAACGTGACGTCAACCTACACTGTCAAGAGTGTCAACAAGTTTTGTGTATTTGTAATATTTGGTTTCTGGTGATTATTTGTTTCATTTTAAGTTAATAACTAATAGGTTTTCAGTGTTAAATTATTAAATTCCCGTGTAGTAAGACTCAACACAATGACTGAATATACTTTGTCAGGTGCAGTTTTGATATTATTTGGGCACAAAGGAACGGCACAATATTTATAATAAGTTTTTATTGGCTTTCCATGGTAATAAGTTAATTTTAATCACTCACTTTTTTAACTTTCAGAAACTTTGTGAACTTCACTCCGTTGTTGACATCGAATTCGTCTGAAAGTGTAATCTGACGTCACAAAAAAAGCGCGCCAAAATGGACGTGTTCAAATTGCCCCCAAATGATAGTGATTTTAATAAAAAAATTTTTGCTTAACGGTTTATATTTCGGATGTGTTATATTAACTTTTGGTAATGTAATAACTAGTAGAATCGTTAAAAAAATAAAAAAAAATACATGCATATTCCCTATTGGCAAGGTGACACTTGAAGAGTGTGTATGGATTTGATTCTAATCCTTCTTTCTATAGGAATACTGCGGTTACTGGAATACATGGTGCCCTACGTTATTTACAAGTTTTTATTAATGAAATCAACAAACTAGGTAATATAATTTATGATTTGTTTATGTGTTTACTTTCATTGAATTTTTTTGTGTGTTATATACTACATTTCATCATTTGTAAACTGAGTCCAATAAATATATTAGATTGAATTGGATGTAATTAAATAATTGAAACCAAATCAAAAGTATCAGCGACTTTAACGCATCTAAAGCATGATGAATTGTTATAAACTATCCTTAATTTTAAATAGAATAAGATTTTTCCAAAAAAAAAAACAAAAGGGTTCTTAAAGAACAAAGTTCTTACTCCGAACATTTTTCCCAAAAGTAAGTTAGAGTCGACTTTAAGTCTACTAAGATACGGCTGAACTTCGATTTTTTACACGGAGCGACCGCCATCAGTCCTCCACAGCCCAAGTAGGCGATATAGAAGTTCTGTAGAAAGACTGTTATCGGACCTTTTAAACTCGGATTGTCACAGATGTTCCGAGACCGGCACGGATGGGTATCAATGTGTTAAGAAATGGTCACCCATCCATAGACTGACCTAGCTAGCATTGCTTGACTTTGCCTATTACCTACCCACCTACTCGGTTACCACCTAGCAACGAACCCCTTTTAATAAAGAACTGAGGTCACAAAGATATAAAAAAAAGAAGTAAAGTAACAACTACCACTTTTTTTAAAATGTGAAGTTAATTAAAAAAAACAAAACAGCTTATTAACAATTTATCATGGAATTAGGGGAGAGTAACCAATATTGAACCGGCGCTTAAATTGGACCACTCCGTTTTTAGACTAAAATGGCACTATTTTATAGTATATTGGCACAAAAAGGAGCGCTACAAAATGGCGAAGTATCAGTGACGCTGCTAGCGCTTCTTTTTGTGTTGCTAGTGTAAATAAATAGTGCTATTTTGGTATAAACACAGAATGGTGCAATTTAAGCGCCGGTTCACTATTGGTTACTCTCCCCAACATTAGCTACTTTTTTTACTCTACAAATGACGAATTCAATCCTCAAAATGATTTAACTATTTTCCATTAATGCCAACTTGTAAATAAGTCTTTTGAAACTGTTATGTTATAATTATATAGTAGGATCCTCCTTTCTAAGGAGAGGCCTATGCCCAGCAGTGGACTAGTAAAGGCTGTCGATGATGATTATATATAGTAGGTCGGTACTGTACATATAACTTCTAACACTTACATGCCATCACCGTGAGTTAAAAAAAACGTTTTCAAAGCTAACAAATAAACATTCAAATTACTCGAACTTTTTATTTACAATAACATTAAAAACGTTTTTCGTCTAAAACATATAAGACATACGATGTACATTAATGCTATGGCCTGCGTAGTGTTAATGTATGCTCGCAACTTTCTGATATAGAATTTTGGACTAGAATTTTCGTGTTAGTATTGTGGTTAGACAAATCAAAACAATGTTGTGGTATATTTAATAGTGCCATTGTCTCTATCTGTGAATTGCAAAAGAGTGGCCATGAGTTTGTTCGCACTTTCTTCTCATAAGGCTCAACCCCTTGGAAACGGGCGGTTATAGATAGGCACAGGCATATCATAGATTTTGTATGGGTTTGATTTTTGTTAAATTTATTTGCTTACTATTTGACAAAGTAGAGATTGTTGCTTTTGTGTATTTTGTGTGTGTTGACTTTAGAGTCTACATAAAAGACGATTTGAAACAATTTTGAAAATTTTATGAAATAAAGAGAGTTTGAGTTTGAATTTGAGACAGATTCCCGTTAAGTCAGTTCGTTGCGGTGTTGGTTATTCTTAATTTTCCTGTATTTAATTACCGTGTAACGGAGTAGGACCTAATAATATGTGATTTTTTTTTGTATTCCCTTGTTTACTCTCGAGGAAATAAGAGGAGCTTTAAGGAAAGATCCGTGTGGTGGCGGATTAAGAATACAGAATGTCACCACCCCTATTCCTCCCGTGGGTGTCGTTAGACCCAACTAAGGGAGAAAACTACGCAGAACAACAGCACTGCAGAGAGAAGGAAAACTTGAAACAAACCGTATACCAACCCGTCTGGCCAGCGTGGTATAGTAGGCCAAAACCTCCTTTCTAAGGAGAGGCTGTTGATGATGAATGAAAGACTAAAGTCTATGGGATAAGACTAGATTTGAGGTGGCACGTCGGAACCCAATCTTCAAACCGAAAATTGTTTTAATTTAGGGATAATAAACATAAAAATTAAGAAAATATTTAGTTTTTTTTTTTTTTAATTCTAATCTATTAATGAAAATGTGTTTGTTTATTTGTTAGCTGTGACAAGTATACCTACAGTGTTTTTTGTATTCTTCGTCTCTTCTATGCTATCACGTGTCTTTGCGCTTGCGTACAACGAAGCCTTCAGAAAATGTGTCCTGAACAACGTGGTGCATCATTTACGTGTTTTGTTTAAATGATTTACCACATCTGTGTTAATTTAAATTATCTAAAATTAAATATAATAGATAACATTAGTAAATTATTTTTATTGATTTTACACATAATAATATATTTTATGTGTATATTGTGTAATTTTTTATTTAATATAATATTTTAATAATGTGTAGATTTTTCTTATTGTTAAAATTAGTTGTGTTTAATTACTCAACCGATCATCATGAAATTCTGTACGAAACCTAGTGTACTTGACACCTGAGTTAAACAAACCTATGATAAACAACGTTACTACATTAATTTGGTATATCAGAAAGTTGCAACGTGTCGATGTGTGCGTGTGTGTGGGCGTGTGTGCGTGTGTGTGGGCGTGTGTGTGTGTGTGTGGTGCGTGTGTGCGTGTGTGGGCGTGTGGGTGTGCGCTACGCTAACCTTGAAGCAGAAGAGTGCTGGCATGCAGAGTGAGGAAGTATTGGCGCCGCGCCCCACACTCACCTCCGCCCACTGCACCGCCTCCGAGCACCAGCCTGCCGACAACACAACGCGTTACACGCAACTGTCGCTACACCTGTTCTCTCCTCACACAACCAGAACATTCACTAAATAAAAGCAACCTTCTTCTGTAATCTTTATCAATACTCTCGCATGCTTAAAAAAATTAGAGGAAACGCCTGTCTGTGTATAAATTATTGTAAATGTTTTTCCAGACGTCTCCGCCATGCATATTATTGGAATCGAACATACCTCACACAAGAGAAATAAATTAAAACATTGTCAATTCCACTCTTCTGTTTTCTCTTCAACTAGGGCGAGTAGTGGATAATAAACTTTTCTATATAATATACTACTCATATCGGTGCGGGTCCCAAGAAGATTACAAGTTTCTGAACATCACAATAGATGCCTTATACCACTTTTGTTGATTCTAAAGAATGAGTGTCAATAATTACAATTTTTATCTTTATATAATAATAACTTCAAGCCATCTGATCCCAAACTAAGCAGAGCCTGTACTATGGTGACCAGACCGCTGATAAACATACTTATATATTTATAAATACATACATATTATAGATATATTACACCCAGAAACAGAATTCATCACACACATATTTGTCCTGGGTGGGAATCGAACCCACGACCACACAACAGTATACACATTTTTAAAGATAAATTTTAATTGAAAATGAGATCCATATTTTTTTAAATAGGGAACAATCAGTAAATGGTACACCGAATAGTACGTGACTACTGGCCTTTGCGTACTCCCACCAACTCGGATCTCCTGTGACTTTACCCACTCGGTGAAATACAAAAAAAAAAAGAATATGTTAACACCGGTTTTCTGTGAGGCCGCGTTATCAAAGCGGTCGAACCAGCACCACGGTGTACGGAGCTCTAAGAGGTAACAAAGCTCGGTCCATGCGCAGGCGCAGCCATGTTTACCGTTGGTGTCGGCGGCGGTGTCGTCGCAGTCGCTGTCGTCCGACTCGCAGTCGGAGTGCGGCAGCTCGTACGCGAACAGCTCCAGCGCCGACACGCCCGAGATCTTCGCGCCGTCCTCGAACACCCGCCCTATGCTCGCCCCCGACAGCTCCACTATCAGCAACCTGCAACGTCGCGGCTATTGTCACTTATACGACTTATAAACATTTATATAACAACTAGCTGACCCGCGCAACTTCGTCTGCGTCTCTCAATAGTAATAAATTTTCTCCGTTTTTTAAACATTCTTCATTGGTGCTCCGCTCCTATTGGTCTTAGCGCGATGATAAATAGCCTATAGCCTTCCTCGATAAATGGGCTATCAAACACTGAAAGAATTTTTCAAATCGGACCAGTAGTTCCTGAGATTAGCGCGTTCAAACAAACAAACAAACAAACTCTTCAGCTTTATAATATGAAGTATAGATTGGTCTTCTTTTTATAAAATGGTCCAAAAATATTTTTATGGTTGTGCACTCAGATGCGTTAAAAAGATTAAATTCTGAGTGCATTCTGTCGTTTTTGAATACCTGGTCTGGTCTGGTCATGAGAAGAACACTTAAGTTTGTGGAGTAATTTTATTTTTACTAGTAAAACAATAAACGAACTATTAAGTAATAGACTATAAAATTAGGACTTCCTTTTTATTTTGTCTTAAGGACTTTCAATTTGCTAAGCTAATCAATAAGTGTGTTGAACAGTTATAGAATACTGATAAAATCAATTAAAAAAGTAATTAACTGTTTTTTTTATAACAACTTACGCCTCTGGCGGCAGACCACACAGCTCTGACAGTTTCTTCTTGAGATCCAGGTACGTGCCTTCAGAGTTGACTCTCACACCGTACTTGATGGGCACAGATCCGTCGAGCAACATCACTATAACATTTGATTGACAAAGATTTGAACAAAAATTACCCGTTAATTTTAAATCTAGTAAATAATTATAGTGACAACTGCTTGAGATTTCGATTTTTATTTGTTTCAGAAGTAGCAAAGGTAGGTCATTCCCTTGCCTGCCGGCTCGAAGGACCAATATAAAGTATAAAAATAAATTCTAAGATGGGACGTCTATAAAAGAGTATTGTTTTGGTACAAATAATTAAGTTTTGTTGAATCCGATTTTATATATAAAATATTAATGGATTCATGTGTGTGTAGGAATGTTTTGCAAGTATACGAAATATTAGTTACCTCTGATTTCAAAGCTAACGTAAGACTCCATGGGCAGCGGCAGACTGAGCATGTTGAAGGCGTCGAACCGCACGGACTCCCGCGCGCACGTGTCGCACTGCACCTTGGACTTCAGCTGGCCGTAGAACAGGTCCGTCATTATGGAGCTGTTGCGGGCCGTGTGCTGCTCCCAAGCCTCCGCTGCGACCACCTACGTTCAAAATGTGTTAAAATATTTATTTACCTCTATATTTATAACAATATGTATGAATGTAATGGAAGTAAAATGTAAAGGAGAATGAAAACCGATGACTCCTTTTTTGTGGTGTAGTGTCAAGACTATTCTTTTTTTTTTAAATATGTAGTATTTTTACATGTTTAAGTTTCTTTTGCTAACATTTCTTTTAATTTTTTTGCTTTATTTTTATTTTTTTAAAGGTTTTCTGTGAGGTCGTAGTATCATTCTAGTCGAGTCGGTTAACTATGGTCGATGCAAGGTTCTGTTACTCTCCACGCTCTCTTTCGCAAAGACAACAAGGTCTGTCTGTATACCTGGTCGGGGCGGCCGTCGGAGTCGTGGTGGTGGATGGGCGCTTTGGGCGCCTGGCGCACGCGGTTGAGGTCCTCGTGCAGCGCGTCCAGCAGCCAGGCGAGCAGCTCCTGCGCGTCGTGCTGCCCGCCGCCCGCCAGCGCGCGCGCCCAGCGCGACACGCACCAGCGCACGCGCAGCGGCGCCACCGAGCGCGCGCTGCACGACCACACCTGCGCACACCACTCGTTATACACGCTAACGGGTACGGGTACGGATAACGGGTGCTAATGGGTACTACGGACATACAACATAGTCACAAAAAATAGGACGTAAAAATTTGACTAAGCGAAAATAAAAACTTTATACACAAAAAAATGAAATCAGAAAAAGACTATGATTTTCATTCACTGAAGTTTTATTTATTATCAATATGTATGTTTGTAACTAGGTAAATATGTATGTATGTGTATGTATTTGGTACGTATGTATGTCTGTATTTATCTCATTGTTTCTGTCTAACTTCTTAATAATTTTCTCCTACCTTACATATCATTGTCTAGTGCACCAAGTCACACATTTTACACCACCCTAACGTAGACTGCCAGAAAATGCCTGTGGCATTTGAAACAGTCCGCAATTATACAACCCATACTTGTGCATAAAGTTTTAAAATAAAAATGGTTAAACGCTGATAAAACTATTAAGCAAAAATAAAATATTCAACAATAAAACTTACCTCTTTACAAAGTTCTCCATATCTTAACGCTAGTACACCTTTAGTACCGAGTGGATTGGTTGTGTTCACTTCGTACATATGCATACCCGAATTGAAATACCGCGTCAAAGGACCCGTATTCCACACCTGAAATAATTTAAAAAAAACACAGTTTAGTTACAAAACTAAACAGATATAAAATCAAACACGATAGCTTCGAAGCACCATAGATAGATATTAGTCTTAAAAAAATTTTTTTTTAATCTCCAAAAATGGCTGACTTTACGAGGGCTGTTATTTTTGTATCCGGTATAACAAAGTGAAACAATCATATAGCATTTATTATAGTTTTATTACTTTTCAAAATATTCGTCGTGATGATCAATGCACTTTGCATACGTTGGAACCAATTTTCGTTGCACTTTTTCCATTCTGATTTTGGGATCTCCAAAACGTGTATTTTGAACGTATCAACAGCTTCTTCACGGCTCGAAAAACGTTGACCACGTATTTTATTCTTCACGGTTGGGAAGAAATAGAAGTCGTTGGGGGCCAAGTCAGGGCTGTACGGCGGATAACCCGTTAATTCGATCTTTTGATCTTCCAAATACTGAGTTGTTTCGGCCGATATGTGGCATAGCTAGCATTGTCATGATGAAGAAGGATTCTGACTTCTTATTTCTTCAAAAACTTCTGGCAAACAAAAGATCATTTAGTGGCACTGTAGCAGCATGTCCATTTATAAAAACAAGCGACGATTTGCTTCAAAGTGCTTCTTGAACGAATGACTTTTGTTGGGTTCAGTTCATCTTGGAACGCGTTGATTGTTATTTAGTTTCAGGATAAGATTCCTTTTGACGCATCCTGATTGTGCATTTGTAATATTTTTTTACACCAATCGACACGAGCCCGTTTTTGGTCAATTCTCCAGTTGTATGGAATCCAACGTGAACTTTTTTTTTACAGCTAAGTGTTAAATGATCGTGTAATATTTTATATTTACTCGTCATAATTATTCCCGGAGACGTCTCTATCTTGCGATATGTAACATGACGATCTTGCATTATTAGTTCCCGCACAGCATCAATATTTTGAGGTACAACAACCGATTTAGGGCGACTTTCTTTAAATTCGTCCGTGAGCACAGACCGCCCTCGATTAAACTCACTAAACCAGTGATACACAGTTGTTTTTGATGGTACTTCGTCCACAAAAGTCGAAGTGAGTTGATCGATGCACTGCTTTTAAGTTAGCCCTCACCAATCGCCTCGAAAATCGTTATTACGCATTAGTTTTTACGAGTTAAATCCATAGTGATAAAGACACGCAATTTTCAAAATGACGCCATAAAGTATAAACAAATGACAGCTACATGAAACCAATTGTATTCTTCAGATAAAGAGTTTCATTTCTAAATGTTATAATAGGGAATATGCACGTGACACCAAAATGGACAAAATATTTTTATTTGTAATTTTTATTGCTAAAAAAAGATACCCCTACAATTATTTTTGAAATTTATTTTAATTTAATAGTGAAATTTAATCATCAAAAATTGGCTTTTTTAAGATTCCCTCGCAAATTTCTAAAACGCAACGCTATTGGTTAAATGAAACATGACGTCAACCTACACTGTCAAGAGTGTCAACAAGTTGTGTGTATTTGTAATATTTGGTTTCTGGTGATTATTTGTTTCATTTTAAGTTAATAACTAATATGTTTTCAGTGTTAAATTATTAAATTCCCGTGTAGAAATACTCAACACAATGACTGAATTTACTTTGTCAGGTGCAGTTTTGATATTATTTGGGCACAAAGGAACGGCACAATATTTAAAATAAGTTTTTATTGGCTTTTCCATGGTAATAAGTTAATTTTTATCACTAACTTTTTTAACTTTCAGAAACTTTGTGAACTTCACTCTGTTGTTGACATCGAATTCGTCTGAAAGTGTAATCTGACGTCACAAAAAAAGCGCGCCAAAATGGACGTGTTCAAATTGCCCCAAAATGATAGTGATTTTAATATATATTTTTTTTGCTTAACGGTTTATATTTCGGATGTGTTATATTTATTTTTGGTAATGTAATAACTAGTAGAATCGTTTAAAAAAATAAAAAAAATACATGCATATTCCCTATTACTATTTAATATTGTTATGTAACTGGCCAGTTCCGGATACATAAATAGCAGTGCTTGTACCAATTCCTGTTGACAATTTAAAAAACACCCATGGCAAGAAGTGAATGAATGAAAATAGTGGGTTACCGACCTTTTCGAAAAGATTGCACTGTTCCTGGTTATAGGATAAACAATTATATGTAACGAAGGTTTTTTATTCTAAAGTTTAAAAGTACGAAGAATTGTACTTACAGACTGTAGGGCGGCGTTCATGAAACACGTGTTCCCGAGGTTGTGCAGTCCGGTGGCGCCGGGCAGGTTGGGCGCGATCAGCGTCTCCCGACGTTCTGTCGCGCGACTACCGCTACATATACTGCAACAAATAATTATCAAAATATCCTAAAAATACAATTCACACACTAGTAATAACATCCAGTTGTAAGCACCCAGACTCCGGACCAGCATTTGTGAATAACACATATTTTTACCGCGTATAAGAGTCAACCAAGATTCCAGTTCCAGACCACTGCTAGACATAGGCCACTCCTTAGGAAGGTGGTTTTGGCCTACTATTTACCATTGTACCAACTATGCAATCCAATTCAATAAACATTGCTTCGATTCCAATAAAGTTATTTTATGTATCCTTACTTATATCATACATTTTAAAGCGAGTTTGTTTGGCTGATTGTTTGTCACGCTTTCACGCCTAAACCACTGAACCGATCTTAAAAATTATTTTACCAATAGAAAGCTACATTATAGGATACTTTTTACCGAGATAACCGGACATAAACACGGGTGGAGCTGCAGGTAAAGAAAATGTGCAGTTCGGTAGCAATTCTACAATTTGGTATCTTAAAGTTGATCTAATAGTAGTGATCTTCCGTCGCTACTAGGAAGCAAAACCTTGTGTTTGAGCTCAATTTACATTGGTCCATGAATAAGACAAAAGGAAAAGGAAAAAGAGTTCTTGAGTGGAGACCGCGTCTCGGTAAACGTAGTGTAGGACGCCCACAGGCTAGGTGGAGTGACGATTTGCGCAAGATGGCTGGCAGGAGCTGGATGCGAGAAGCCCAAAATCGATCTAAGTGGCGTGCAATGGGAGAGGCCTATGTCCAGCAGTTGACTGCGATAGGCTGATGATGATGAATAAGACAATCGACACTGACTAATTCTGGCCGTCAGACGATCTATGGGTATAAATTAGACTTGCAACGAATATTCGGTTACTATTCGGTATTCGGCCTATTCGGCTGCTTTTATTATATTCGGCCGAATACCGAATAACTACATATTATTCGGCCGAATACCGAATACTTAAATAATATATTTTGTCATTGAGAAATAATTGGTAAAATGAAAAATTAAAATCGATTGATTACGTATATATTCATATTTTCATTTCTGTTATAATTAGACTTGCAACGAATATTCGGTTACTATTCGGTATTCGGCATATTCGGCTGCTTTTATTATATTCGGCCGAATACCGAATATCTACATATTATTCGGCCGAATACCGAATACTTAAATAATATATTTTGTCATTGAGAAATAATTGGTAAAATGAAAAATTAAAATCGATTGATTACGTATATATTCATATTTTCATTTCTGTTATAATCATTTAAGTAGTCATTGGTGCATAACACAGGAACATAATCATCTTCTGAATTGGAAAAATGGAGGATTCTATGTATTTGAATTATTGTGGTAATCAAAATTTAGAAGGGTAAGGTTCTCATTTCTTTTATAATCATTTATTAAGTAGTAATTGGTACATAAAACAGATACATAATTTAATTCACGTCTGTACAAGTTTTAGGCGCTAAAATCCAGCCGAATACTTTTGCCTAATATTCGGCTATTCGGTCAGGGGCCTCGCCGAATATTCGGTATTCGGTATACTGCCGAATATACTATTCGTTGCAAGTCTAGTTATAATCATTTAAGTAGTCATTGGTGCCTAACACAGGTACATCATCATCTTCTGAATTGGAAAAATTGAGGATTCTATGTATTTGAATTATTGTGGTAATCAAAATTTAGAAGGGTAAAGTTCTCATTTCTTTTATAATCATTTATTAAGTAGTCATTGGTACATAAAACAGGTACATAATTTAATTCACGTCTGTACAAGTTTTTGGCGCTAAAATCCAGCCGAATACTTTTGCCTAATATTCGGCTATTCGGTCAGGGGCCTCGCCGAATATTCGGTATTCGGTATACTGCCGAATATACTATTCGTTGCAAGTCTAGTATAAATAAATACGCACCATTGCAAAACCATTGTGTTCACATATTCTAACTAAACCAGCAATTTTTACTGACAAACACTTTTATATTTTCATGTATATTGCCTATTCGTCTATTAAAATTATCTAACACTGAAATTAGAAAATAACCTCATAGAATGCTTGTACTTACACAAACGACAGTTTCAGTAAAATATATATTTTTCCCGTTAATATCAATGATGTATACAACTAAATATTTATCCTCAAAATGACAATCGATACTAGCGGTTTAATAGTTAAAAGTTTTATTATTTGCTAATATATTGTCACAGTTCGTGTTATTAAATACTAGCTTTTGCCCGCGGCTTCGCCCGCATGTATGTCGGTTATTACGGTAACGAGTGGCTGATAATGTAGCTTTCCATTGGTGAAAGAGTTTTTAAAATCGGTTTAGTGGTTTAGGCTTGTAAGCATAACAAACAAACAAACTTACTTTCACATTTATGATTTAAGAATGAATTTATTGCAGATACAATTCATAAAAAAATAAAATATATAATATATTATATTGTATCCATCGCTATGAAATACAATAAAAAGCAATTGTATCTTCTTTAATAAATAATTGTTTAGTGAAAGACTTTGTAACGTCATGCTAAAGCTAATGCTCATAAATGCAATTTATCATTGCAGGTAACCCTAGAATAAAATAACGATGTGATGATGATACAAAATAAAGCAGTAGGTGTAAATAAATAAGGCGTTACGGTAGGTTCGGGTACGTACCCGAGCGCGCCGATCTCCTCGGGCCAGGTGAGGTCGGGGTTGCGCAGCTCCAGCAGCAGGCGCGGCCGCTCGTCCAGGCGCAGCTCGTAGAGCGTGGGCCGCTCGTCGTCCAGCAGCACGGCCGCGCTGGCCACGGCCCACAGGCGCACGTCCTCGCGCGCCAGCCCCAGCGCGCCGCACAGGAACTCGCACACCTGCTTCACCGTGGCGAGGCGCGAGAAGGCCGCGCTGTAGGCCAGCTGCCGCTCGGGCGGGGCCGGCGCCAGCGGCACGCTGCCCAACACGCCGCCCAGGGACGCCGCTCCTGCACGAGACGCGTCATAACATACCATACGCTCACCCGACTGACCCGTAACTATATCTTTATCACATAATAACAATAAATGAAACTTTGAACTTTGACACAAAGGACATCATTCAAAATGTACCCAAAAATTAAAGTGCCAGTAAAAAAAAACACTGTGTCATCTTACGGCAAATGATCTTTTAAACATTTTTTATTATTATAAAAAACGTGTACGACCAACTTTTAGACCCAAAATGGATCTCCGAAAATCATAAAATGAGCATTTACATTTATGTATCAATTAACTATTTCTGAATAATTAAAAACCTAAACAACGCAAGACCATCGAAATGAGACCTGCGGAATTATAACATATGAATAAAGCCACGTAGGTAACGAAATGAAGTCTTTTTCTTTACATATATTTTATAACACTAATACCTACACATAAATACCTACGTAGGTACTTAGGTACCTGATGATTGTATATAAATTTTTGCTATAGTAATCAAGTAAAAATTGGTTAGACGAACTCTTATAAATGCATTTTTTTATTATTTCTAAGTCATATAACTCATAAGTAATCGGTCTTAGATCTTAGCCGTCTAAAGAAAAAAATCTTAATATGTCATTCTCTAACCAATAAAACCATTTCTTTTCGTTGGCCGGCACTTTTTTTTGGGTAGTGAGTTTCAAACTCGACCAAAGCTTTTGACACACTTTACATTAGTATTTTTCTATAAAAACTTGAATTCAAAGATAAAAGCATTCTAATTAAAACAAGTTGAATGCTATCTAGAAAAACATACACGACTACGTGACTCGGCAGTCGGAGGACGACTGCCACACGAATGAAAGTTGTATAGTTACAAGCCCACGCACATATAGGGCTGCGCGCACAACTGAGTTGAACTATCTATAAGGACTTAGATTATTTTTAACGATGATCAGAAAAAAACTTGTATGGAGTTCACCAGGGAAGTATCGTAGGACTTAAAACTTGTAGGATTGTGTGTAACGGTCAAAAATCATCATTAAGTCATAATACACTCTAGGTAGTATTAACATACATAAATTAATGTTACAACAAAGTAACTCGACATTTTGTCTATTATACTGATACCTAAACTCATGGTTTGATATTAAAATCAAAACCAAAGTATTGAACACGTGTGTACTTACTTTGTGTACTCGGGACATGCCGCAATATCTTTAACTGCAGCGGATACAATTCTAACTCTACATCCGAATTTGGGGGCCGTATCACCTGTAGATATAAATAGTTATGATCAAGTATTCAAAGCAGAATAAGGTTTTTTTAATTACCCTCAAATTAGTAGCAATTTCTAGCGCTCCAGAACTTTAGTTAAAGAGGACGCTTTCTTCTTAAAAATATATAATTATTAGTATTTTACATTTTATTATAGTATAAAGTTGCTTTGTAAAGAACGTACCTGTCTGGGGAGCGGTGCAGGCGCCCCGTACCAGACGGCGAGCGCTCGCCACAGCGCGTCCGGCACGAGCTCGAAGTCGCGGTGCTGCGCCAGGGTCACGTCACGCCGCAGGTGACCGCCCTCGCCGGTCAACGTCCGCACCTATACAACACAACGGACGTCAGGATACGAGTGCAGCGGGTGCAGGTCAGGGAGAGCGGACGCGACGGTACCTTGAGATGGTCAGGCGCGAGCAGGCGCCTGTTGTCGATGGGCCCGGGGGCGCGGGGCGCGCGGGCGGGGCGGGGCGCGGGCGCGGAGCTGACGCCGCTGCTGCTGCCCGCGCTGCCCAGGGACGCGCTGTCTGCGCGCCACAGCAGGGACCCCATCGACTCTGTGCACGCACCACACACATTTATGTATCACGTTACAAAGTTTGGATAAAATATATAACAAAAATAAATATATGCATATTTTTACAGCAGTAAAGAAATCATTATATTAAAGCTATTTTGTAATCACTTGCATAATCATCCTATCTGTTTTAATGTCAGGTGTTACGATAAATAATCACCAGATGCCGCCAGATATTATATTACAAAATCTATCAGGCCGGACACCGCATGTCGCCTTTTTGAAATGTCCATTATAATAAATACCATTTGTTTTTGTTAATTTCTGACTTAATCTTTCGTAAACCAAAAACTCCTAACGGTAATAATATAAAGATTTAACAAACCTGTTGAATTAGTAGTAAAACTTTCATCGCAGACGATAGCTTCGTCGATGTTTCGTTGAGGCGCTCGACAACATGAGTCGGTGCTTCCCCCGGCCGTGTAGCCGAGCCAACTGCTCCACCACTCCGAGGCTATAAGGTACCAAAACTGTCCAACAGAGTAACCACGTTGAACTTCGCGTCGTAACCATCCGAGAACTGCAAAAATATATATGAATATTTGACATATATTACGGAAAACAGTCAACAACAGAGGTTGATTTAGTTCGAGAACCCATCCAGGACAATTTGGTGTGATGAACACAATTATTTGGTCTGTGTCTGAGTGCAATTTATCTAAAACATGTATATGTCACCGGAAATAACAAGAACCGCAAATGACCTTCGTAGGATTCTAAACGAGAGAAGAAAACCTAACCTAACCAGGTTGGGGTTTATAAATTTCCTAGGAAATTTATAAATTTGCGGTTTTTGTTAATATTTTTGCTAATTATATATGTTTATTTAGATTTTTATTTGCCCGAGTTTAAGAGTTCGATGAAAAAAAAAACAATACGTGTGAATCTATCAATCTAATTCTACCAGCTTTTGTGACTTATGTTTTAAATTACATGTTTTTTTTTATAATTTACATCCGATTATGGGACATTTTCCAATAAAGTTAGATTTGATTTCCTACTATATTGTGCTAACGTAGATCAGCTAGACCGTTAGTACTGCCATCATAAAATATGACACGATCCTGCCTAGAAACTCTTAATAGGTACGGCAAGCACGTATCTTATACAAGATATTGGCGCGTGACCGGAATACGTACGTGTTGATTATAATAACAATAAATATATGCAAATATTTCTAGATACGAATATTCACAATATGTCTAACATTATATGCATATCATATTTTTATCAGAACTATAGGTCGCCTGGTGGCCGAATTCCAAACGTTTTGAATATGAAACATTCAACACGTTTGGAACTCCAATTTATGTTAACCGTTTGTCCTAAGTAACAGTGGTTGTAGTAACTAATATTATAAATGCGAGCGGTATACCGCATGGTATAGAAAACTACAAAAGGTACCACCTGTCATTCAAAAATGAACTGTTTCTGTGGTATACCTAAGTTGAATTACTAAACTTACATAAACACCAGCGAAGCCGCAGACAAAAATTGCATGTATATAAATATATTTATGAACAAAAGTGATACAAGCATGTACAAGATCCAGGAGGGGGAGATTTTAATAAATATACCTTTTTTCCAAAGCGTATAATTCCTCCACTAAAGGGCACTTATTCGACGAAATGAAAATAAATCCAAGCTTATATTACAATCGTTATGACCATAAAAATCTACTCCTTATACAGCTGAGTGTGAACGAAACTATATCGCGATCTACCTCAACACTTACGCCCTCTATCGAGCGCAGCGACAACAGGTTTAGTTCCGTTCTCAGCCAACTTATTAGGTAAAATTTATCATTCTAACTTAGCTTATATTGTTTACAATCGGACGTTACGCCCACCAAGGACATAATGACAAATGTCCTTCAGTTCAGAACCGTCCACCGTGAAATAATGACGGCGAAAAAAAAAAGATTTACGACACAAATAAACACAATATAAGCAAGCCTGTACATACAAGTTTTTAAAAATGTACACAATAAACAAACAAGTGGAAGTACTCTCTATCGTAAGAGAGTGCAACCCACTTACGTGCAAATAAACCCGTACTTAATACAATTGTACCGATACCTCGAACAGAAAACAATCAAAATTGTTTATGTTATACCGTTCGCGAAATTAAAAAGATTATAATGCTGTTGGCAGGATCTTGATGTGCTTATGCTTCCATCTTTCAAGCCTAGTTTAGATGCGTGTCAAAGCTTGGCAAACGTCCACAAGCTCCAAGTCTTTACAAATGCTTGGATACCATTTACACGCTTGCGAGTGTGCTATTGTGTTCCGGACAGGCAAACATAGCGGACGTGGACATATTTTTATTCAAAATATAAACGGCGACACTAAACTAAAAAAAATATTCTCTAGCCCTACTGCTCAACTACAATACTTGTAATATCAATTTGAGCAGCAGGGAACAAGCTCAGGCCAACGTGTAAATACGTCGCAAACGCTTGCCGCGAGCTTTCTTTGATCTGTGTCCACAAACCGACACTTGTACAGATCGACGACGAGCATACGCGAGCAGAACTAAACACCCCATGTACACGCTTGTGTTTGTGAACACTTGTCGAGGCTCGCCATGCGTTAGATCTGATAGGCCGTTTACCTATTAGATCTCAGTCACAGTGACTCTAAAAAAAGGGTCGTGACGCAAAATTAATCCGTTTCCCCAAAAGCCTAACCTATTGTTTATTTAAAAGTGGTGAGGCCAGCAGGTAGCGAATATTCGGATATTATAATATAATCATATTTTATGTTTACCTGGTATAAATACACCGGAAGAACGGATATATAAGATGTAAAGGTGTAAAACAATTTAATATAGCTAGTTAACACCAGCCCAAGATCCGCCTAAAAATGGCGGGGTGAGAAAAAGGCTAGGCGTACATTAGTGTCCGTGTAGTGACGGATTAAGAATAAGGAATGTCACTACCCTAATTCATCCCGTGGGTGTCGTAAGAGCCAGCACCAGCACTGCAAAAAGAAGGAAAACTTGATACAATCCCTATACCAACCCGTCTGGCCAGCGTGGTATAGTAGGCCAAAACCTCCTTTCTAAGGAGAGGCCTATGTCCAGCAGTGGACTATTAAAGGCTGTTGATGTGATGTGATGTGATGTACATTAGTAGGAATAACATCGTAGTTATTGCTATTTAATAGCAATAGTAGTTTAGTTGTTGCTAAGAACACCAATGTTTAGTGTTCGTTTAGGTCAGTCTAGGCGACAAGAGATCGATAAGAAATGATAGCGTGGAGTTCATTGACATCTACTGATTTTTTATCTACGATCTAGCGAAATAATCTTATTTATTATTGCAACTTTCATCGTTATAGCAAGAAAAGATTAAGAACAGTGTTTCGAAAGAATTTTAGGTTAAAAACTCATATCCCGGAATTATATTATTTTACAGCATTTGTGATGCGGTGAATAAAATGCAAGCACAGTGATGAGGAAGAGAACAGAAGGGACTTGGCTACGTAAGTGTATTTACTAAAACTTAAAACTTCTTGGTGCAGTTTTCGCTTCTTTTTGTAATCACCATCATTTAAAAACTGTGTAATTAATTTATTATTATTATAAATCAGTAGCTCATTCCGCACTCATAACTAACTTATATATTATTATATGTACATGATAAAACACTTGTAACAAAGCATTCCTTAGAAAATTAGTAAAGATAAGTTAGTACTAACTTTGTACCTACAAAGTACTTGACTTTACGGATGGCGCAGTAATTTAAGCGGTCGCTACGCCGCTTCCTGGGGATCGGATTCAACACTCAGCTTAGTGAGTGTTGAGTCCGATACCCACCTGGGACGACACTTTGTGTGGTCCACTAATTGTTGTTCCGAGTCTGGGTGTTCTTTGTGTCCCCCGCGACACATGATACATTCCTAATGTCGGAGTTGTCTTAAAAGAAAATAAAATTACAAAGTTACAAGTTTCCTCGATTGTTTTAGCAGTAGGTATTCGTACAATCAATTATACTACACAATTATAACACCCAGATTCAGAACAACAATTTTTGTATCACACAAATTTTCGTCCCATGTGGGGACTGGACCCACAACACTCAGCGTAGTAGGGAGCGGCGTGGCAAAGCGGTACTAAACCACTACGATCCGTGTAGTCATGTTTAAAGTGTTCTATACTTTATACAAAAGCGAGCCCCGCAGTGACTTAAAGTAATTCCATACTAACAAATAGAGCCGTTATCGATAACTTAAGAGGCGCTTTCTTTGTTTTTCAACAAACAAAAAATCTCATCAGTCTTATTACATGGCAGATACGCAATTAAATACCAAAAGAACAATACAATTAACATTACATAATACCGTTGAATGAAGTGTAACGTGGCTATAATTAGCACTACATTGCGTGCCAGTAAGAGCACAAAACAAACAAGAATAAACCCACCTTATCTATGTATATCAACGTTGTACACTTGACACGGATCCCTGAGGGACACTCTTGATATAATGTCATATCTTGGTGCGTTATCAGTTTCACTCTTTGCGATATTTTGTCTACAATATTTTAAGTTGTAGAACTGTACTCTACTTTAGCTTCTGATAGGTAAATTGAGAGAAAGAGATCCGGCTTATTTATGCTATAGGTTGGCAAACGAGCACACGGTTCATCTGATCTTAAGTGAATATCGCACCAGAAAGCCTATTCTCTTAATAAAAGTTCGGTCAAAATTTAGTTTCGATCAACTGCCATAAAAGGTATTTTCATAGTAAAATATTACTGAGTAAATTTTCGGTCACAATACGATATAATCATATCATACTCAACGTTGTGTTTAATACTTTGGATGACGTGCCTATTGGTGTAGTGGGTAGTGACCCTTACTGCTAAGCCGGAGGTCGTGGGTGCAATTCCTACCCAGGACAAATAATTATGTGATGAGGACGATGTTCTGTGTCCAGATATAATCAATTTATGATATGTATGTAATTAGAAATATATAAGTACGTTTATCAGCAGTCTGGTTACCATAGTATAGGCTCTGACTAGTTTGGGATCAGACGGCCGTGTGTGAGATGTGTTAAGTTATTATTATCATTATACTTTGTAACGAAAATACTAAAGATGGAGAGTTGATCGGCACTGAATTGTAACTAAACTTTTATTTCTAGGCCTTCAGGACACCTGCAACTTAAGATTCAGAAGTGCGTTGGCGCGCTATGAGCCCCCCTCCCCTCCCAGAATCAGGAGGAGGAAGGTTAGGGCTCCGGTAACCTCACTCACTTTGTGCAAAGCATCGAGAAAACTGACTATCACCGGTTTTCTGTGGGCCAGTAGTATCATCACTCCGGTCGGACCGGCCCACGGTTCTCTCACGATTATTATCTAGTTTAAAAGTTAATATAAAAAACACGTTTTTTTTTCTATTTGAATTTTATATCTTTAGGTGTCCAATATTTGAGACAGCTCAAATTTGACTTCATTTCCATAATTGATACTAACGTTTATGGCACTATATATTAAATTTATCGCAAGTTATCAGATAACTGCCTTTAAAATAGATATATAATGCTATAAAGACTTATTAGTTTCAATTCTGGAAATGAAATTATGTAGGAGCTGACATCAGCAATCTACTTAAGATGGTGATGATTTATGGTTGTTTGTTTTCTAAAACTAAAAAACCTTATAATTACTACCTTGCCAATTTACCCCAGAACTCCGTATGTTTGTAAAGTCTCCCCGACACCGGATATAATCCTAGTGCGGGAGTTGTCTTTTTAAAAAAAGAAAAAAAAAGATTCGGAAAATTATTTTTTATTTGCAACTTCTAAGTTTAGTTTTTTACAAATTTAGAATAAATACTGGGTGGTCAAGTGTTATATTTTTATTGCAATAAATGTACGTGCATTTAAGTCAGTCATACCTTGTAATTATGAGTTTTTCTGTAATCAATAAAATAAAGAAAAACTATAGATTTATGTAATAATAATAATATTTTCTGACAAGTATCCACAAACACAAGCGTGTAAACGGGGTGTTTGGCTCGGCTCGCGTATGCTCGTCGTCGATCGGTACAAGTGTCGGTTTTTGAACCCAGATCAAAGAAAGCTCGCGGCAAGCGTTTGCTACGTATTTGCAGTTGGCGCGTCCTTGTTCCCTACAGCTCAAATTGATATTACAAGTATTGTAGTATCAAGTTGAGCAGTCGGGCTAGAGAATATTATTGTTTTAGTTTAGTGCCGTCGTGAACATTTTGAATAAAAATATGTAAACGTCTGCTATGTTTGCCTGTCCGGAACACAATAGCACACTCTGTGTAAATGGCATCCAAGCATTTGTAAAGACTTGGAGCTTGTGGACATTTGCCAAGCCTCGGCACGCATGTAAACTAGGCATTAGGACTACGGTCAAACTTCGGCCTCAGGACGACTTAGTATAAATAGCGTAGAATTCATTGTAAAAATTAACTTACCTATATCTCTTTCTTGATGTTTGCACTGAGGCCTCAGTCCCAACACAATGTGGCACACCTCGAACACCAGATCCAAGAACGGGGTCACCAGTTTCTCCGCGGTCTCCACGCTCCAGATCAGAAAGTCTTCCAATGTGAGTGCCATGTCGTTGGCTATTATTGCCTCGGAATCTGCATCCGGCTGCAAATCAAGATAAAATGAGGGCAAACATACACGGAAGTATGTAAGTATGGAAGTGTATAATACTATTCGTACTTATTATGTAATATATAAAATTCTCGTGTCACGGTGTGCGTGGTTGAACTCCTCCGAAACGGCTCGACCGATTTTCGTGATATTTTGTGTGCATATCGAGTAGGTCTGAGAATCGGCTAACATCTATTTTTCATTCACATATATATCTTTTTGACAATTTTTTTTAAATAATGTATACGGCAAAACAACGTTTGCCGGGTCATCTAGTATATTTATAGAATGTCACATTAATTATTGTTTCAGTTTATAAAGTTGCGATCAATGGGTACTACCCATCAATATCCCCCCAAATTTTATTTCCCATATACATAATTATATATAAATTTTATTATTTACATACACGGAGTCCGAGCACCAGTTAGGTTCACTGATCACTGGCCCAACAGTTAAGTTAGTTTAGCTGTTTGAAGTTATTTCATTGCAAAACCAAATGTAGGGAATAAGAATAAATTTATTTCAAAAAGGTATGTGATACTTTAACCAATATTAAGTCTAGTTAACCGATATGCAGTTACTGTTTTCCAATATACATTCCAGATTTAAAAAAAAAACATATTGTACTTACTTCCTTCGTGACAGCAACCTCCTTATCTTTGTCATTGCTGTCTCCGTTAGGCCCGAGATGAAATATTGGTTTTCTACCGTTTCTTGGTACGGTCACCAACTTCTCCCTGATATTCATTAAAATCACTTCAGGATCGAAACCCTTGTCTGTACTCTCGGAGTCATTACCATCAGAAGGCGTGGACGCCCTAGAGTTTTGATTCTTCAAGTTTTCATTGGCGACGGTGCAGAGGATCCCTACCATGTCGATCAGCTCCTTCTTGTTGAGAACTCCGTCACTGTCCAGGTCGAATATTTTGAAGCAAACTGAAACAAATACCGCAGGTTAATATAATTCTGTTTTTTTTTTATTTAGAGAACTATTGTTACAGGATAATATGTCAGAAGCGCAGACGAGGCTCTATTCCTTTTGACAATGCTCAATGACTGCACGGATGGCGTAGTGGTTTAAGCGGTCACCACGCAGATCACTACTGCGCTGAGTATTGCGGGTCCGATCCCCTCATGGGACGACACTTTGTGTGATCCACAAATTGTTGTTCTGAGTCTGGGTGTTCTTTGTGTCCGTTTCATGTATGTTTGTAAAGTACCCCGCGACACAGGTTATATTCCTAATGCAGGAGTTGGCTTTAAAAAAACAGAAACCAATGCAGTAAGCATTCGTTTAAAATAAGTTTGACATTAAACCGTAATATTGTGTAATACCACGAATAGAACTTTTTATACACTCTGCTAACAATGTATTTAGTAATTATAATCACTTGTGGTCATAAGTGCACATAAATGCGTTTTGCTTTTATCAACTTGTACATATAAATACGATTATTCATATCTTAGCACTTATTTAATGTGACAATAAAAATGAACGGTCGATAAAATATCTGATAAATCTCTTTCCTTCCACCATGATTTTGATGTTCACCTCATTTAAATAAGGATAGTGTAAATAAATGACCCTCATATTGCGTATTTCTTTATAATACGTACGTAATGACAGAAACGAAACAAAAGAGGATACAAGGATTGCAAAGGACCCAGATAAGAGAATATAAGAAGAAAGTGACTAATAATATAGTCTTAAGAATTAAGAATTTAATTACTTCAAAAAAATATCATAAGTCATCCGTTTAATCCATAAGGTCGATATTTGCAAAAGAAAATATTAACTTCAATAATCTCACATTACAAATATGTATCTTATAACATAATCTAATCCCTTTAAACGAGCAATTCTTGTATTTATATACAAATCTGAATCTCGGAAACGACTCCAACGATTTTCATGTAATTTTGTATACAGGGGGTTTCGGCAGCGGTTAATCGATATAGCTAGCTTTCATTTTTATAAAATTTACCAAAAAAAAAATACCAAGAGAGCTCGGTCATCAAAGTACTATTGATATAAATAGACCAGTTAAAAGCTGTTCCATTACCTGATCTTCCGAATGAATAAAATTAGTATGAAACGTGTATGAAAGTGACACACAAAACATCATTTTTTAAGAACTTATAAGGCTGTTGATGATGATGAAAATGACACATAGAACTTCGGCCTTATGCCTTATCTATCACATGTGACGACATTCTGTACCTATTTTCATCTCTAGGTCTAAACTCAACCATCATGTCTTTATCAAGGGTCAGACACCCCATCATGTCTTTGAAGAGCCCCATACACTGGGTTGTGGAGTCGTAAAATGGCCTGGTGGACTGCTGCTGATATGTGTAATTTTTCTATTAGGGACATATTGTGTCCGACATACTCGTAGCTACCGGTAGGAGGTGTCCGTGGGGATTTCCGCAGAGAAGAAAAAAGGTACATATTGTGTATTTATAAATATATAAGTATGTTTGCCAGCTGTTACCAAAGTACAGGCTCTGCCTAGTTTGGGATCAGACGGCCGTGTGTGAGGTGAGGTCATGTGTGTGAGGTCACGTGTGTGAGGTGAGGTCATGTGTGTGAGGTAAGGTCAGATGTCTGAAGTTATTAAAATTCTCTTTATTAAGTTAAATATACATTTAAAATACATAGGTAAATATTTATTTAAAAAATACTAATAATATTGTTAAAATGTTTTAAAATTTATTGGTGTGGTGACAGATTAAGAATACGGAATGTCACCACCCCCGATGCATCCCTTGGGTATCGTAAGAGCTGACTAAGGGACCAAATATGCAGAACAACACTGCAAAGAGAAGGAAAACTTGAAACAAACCGTCTGGCCAGTGTGGTATGATAGGTCAAAACCACCTTTCTAAGTAGTGGCCTATGTCCAGCAGTGACTACGAAAAACTGTTGATGTGATGATTAAAAAAAACCTTTTAATTTGAATGTGGTTTTTCCAGTGCCCACTTCAGTTGCGATAAAAACCTTTACCACCTTTCTTTACCTTTAGCATAGTTGTTGCTCCTTAACATGGTCAATAATTTATGGAACAGGAAACAGAAAAATGTCTTGTAATTTGTCAAATATAATATAAGGAAAACTTGACACAAACCCTATACCAACCCATCTGGCCAGCGTAGTATAGTAGGCCAAAACCTCCTTTCTGAGGAGAGGCCTATGTCCAGCAGTGGACTAGTATAGGCTGTTTAGAGAATTTGTCAAATATAGGATCGCAAGATGTGGGTGATTCCCCACTTTGAGACAGCATGGGCTAGGTCCATTTATATACGCCTTCGATCAATAATAGTACTAGATTCCCGTTAAGCGCTTCAAAAACGGCCCGAAAAATAAGAGCACAAAAGTGTTTGTGCTCTTATTTCAAATTAGTACGGTCCAATCATAGCCAACAATAGGACGTCAAAATGCCGCGGTGCGCGTTCTAAAACTGTGTAAATAACCACCGTAACACCAATGTTTTGGAAGGAATATCTTTTTTTCGGTAAGTTAATATCAATAAGTGTTTTTTCATAATATAATAAGTATAAACAGAATTAAACTGTAAATATAATTCAATTAGCGAATGTTATAATTGTTTGGCCAATGTTTGCTACAACGCATCAATTTTTGTATCAAACATCGACTGTTCTTGAACAGAGAATGCATGGAGTAGTGTGGTTATTTTGTAATGTTATTTTTGTTTGTAGATTTGCTAGTGACTTATAGACTTTTAAGCTATAGACTTTTGTAATAAAACCTTAAATATGCCCGCATTTAGAAAATCAGAATGCACAGTAGAATTTATTAAGATACTAAATGATCTTTTTGATATCCTAAATACTAGAAAAGGACTTTGGATTCAAACACCCTTTGAATAAGGGTAGTTCACAAAAAATATTGTCGTTCTTGTCCTAAATTAAAGACTACTTATTGTCATTATCAATTAATGTTACAAATAAAAATTCTTAACAGAACTTCAAAATTGGTTGGTTAATTTGATGTTGAATTTAGAGATATTTTATTTAGTATATCTGTGCGGGTCCTGCTTTTGGTGTCAGGGCAGGTCGCTTAAAGCATTAAATGCCTACATTTTTTTGCATTAGCTTGTTGGTTTGGATGAGTTTTATTCGCGAATTGATTCACTCGCGCGTACTTTTTAATTTAAGATATCTCCTAACATATTCATTTAAATTGTATGGTGTAAGGGTCTATTATAATGTGTATGAATTGCTTAAGATAACTAACGTATTTATTTTGATAACGATTAATACTGTATCCGTGTTAATAGCCTTTGCAAATACCACATTATATGTGATAAAGTAAATACACATACATATTACACAAAAACGTAACGTTAATAAAATAATAAGTAATGTAAAGATACTAACAAACATACATAGATGTCCGAAACTTAAAAAGTAAGCAACTAATATTTTACGTTCATGTTATAAATTATTTTAGTGTTCAACGCGACTCCATACCTCCTGTAGTAAAACTAGAAGAAGCAAAAATAAAACAAAACAAAACGATGGCAATAACGAGAAAAAGTACTTTATTTGTTGCTCAATAAGGTTGATTTTACACTAAATGTTACTTAAGTTATGTCTTTTCATTTGAAAGTGATAGGAGTAATTTATTGCTTTGCTCGTTTTTTGCAAGGAATGATCGTAAGTATTAGATAATATTTTGAAGATTTGTGACTTTATTACTGTGTACCATAGTTGTAATTAGGTTGAACTTAAAACTATTTTAAAACTTTTCCATCCGTTCGTTGGTAAACAAATGTAGCTGCATAAGTATATATTCACGCGGACAGCATTTAGCTTTGACTTTGTACGTGACCCTTTATCTAGTTGCTATTGTTGATCGAAGATATACGCTCATCAAAGTAGCGACAGAAATACTTTAGAGTAAATGAATAATTAAATATTTGTATCTTAGCATAATATATTCATAATTTATTCGCTGACGGCTAATGATGAGAATATTCCTTATCTAAGGTTGTATAATATTATTTTATATTACCCAATAGACTATTATGGGATGCTATTTAAATCATTACCATTAATTATAATAATAATTATGAGAGCGTTAAGAGCAAGTTGGTACTTATTAATATTTTACTGTTTAATGTCCGTGTGGTAACGGATTAATAGACGTGACGGACAGACGGACACGGAGTGGCACCACCATAGGGGTGGTGACACTCCGTGTCCGTCCGTCTATGTCCGCGTTCGTCTATGTCCGCGTACGTCTATGTCCGCGTACGTCTATGTCCGCGTCCGTCTATGTCCGCGTCCGTCTATGTCTGCGTCCGTTTATGTCCGCGTCGTCTATGTCCGTCTATGTAGGCAGTGGACTATTAAAGGCTGTTGATGATGACATAACATTTTCAACATCATTTGAGTATAGACAACATGAACTGTTTCTGATTATTTATTTAAATTAATTGTAGTAATAAATTTAAAGCACGATATATTTACATGCAATTTTCATCAAATGTCACCGATAGTGGTCTATGGTCGATAAATATACATAGACGCAGTCACGTCTTTCACCTCCAGAGGGGTAAACAGAGACGTATTAAAATGCCAATATTATGCCAACTGTAATTTTAAGTACACTTACATAACAGGCGGTAAAGTTATAGCTGTCAATCGGCCACATATAAAACTTACTTATATACTTATAAATACATATTATAGATAAACTACATCCAGATAATATTTGTCACTTTGTTTACATACATACAATATTTGTCTTGTGTAGGAACTGAATCAACGATCTCTGGTTTAGCAGTCAGGATTGTTAACCACTAGACCTACATGTCTAAGATAAAAACCTAATTTAAGCAGCTCCAACAGTTATGTAAATAAATAGACTTTTATTTCCAGGCAGACTGCAAAAAAACTCAATCTATTAC